CTCTTCCAACGATTGAGGTGAAACATCCTGATTCTGTGCGCAGAGCTCTTGACCCTGGGGCAGAGCTATGTTGGGTCCCTGTTCGTGTCCTTTTCTTCTTGGAAATGCCCTTGATCGTTTCTCTGATGATTTCCTTCCCTCTGTTCTCTCTGAACCCGCTTGTTCGGAGGTCAGGTTCCCTGATGTCCTGAGCTGCTTATCTCCTCCTGTGTGTGTCTCAGACTCTGCTCTGCTTTCTGGGAGATTTGGTTTTCTTCTTCTACGCTTGTCTTGAGCTTGACTTTATTTAGGACTGCTAACGTTTTTATTTCCAAGGACTCTTTCTTGTTCTCCAATTGTTTTGTTTGATAGAATCCAATGCTTGCTTAAGAGAGATAATATCTGTGGGCGCCTGGGAATCTCAGTCGGTTAATCGTCCAACTCTTGATTTCGGCTCAGGTCATGATCCTGTGGTTGTGGGATCGAGCCCTACATAGGGCTCCAAGCTGAGTGTGGAGCTTACTTTAGAGTCTCCCTCTCTCTCTGGGGCGCCTGGGGGGCTCAGTCGGTTAGGGGTCTGACTTTGACTCAGGTCATGATCTTGCGGTTCGTGAGTTCGAGCCCCCTCATCCGAGCTCTGGCTCGGAGCCTGGAGCCTGCCTCAGGTTCTGTGTCTCCCTCTCTCTCTGTCCCTCCCCTGCTTGCGCTGTCTCCTTGTCTCTGTCTCTGTCTCTCTCTCCCTCTACTCCTTTCCCCTGCTCGCTCTCTCTCAAATAAATTGAAAAAAAGAAAATTGTTCTTATCTCCTACATGATCGCCTCCCTTCAAACTGCCCTGTTTATGACTGGGATTTAATCTTCATGTTAGTCTCCTTAACCATCTGGTGACCCTTAGCTGTCACCTATTTAAGGGAGGGGCACCCAGAAGTTGCTTCAGTACTTACTCTGGGCCCACGCCTGGGGCTTATCAAGCTGTGGGAGTCACCATGGGCTGGGCCGGGTGGGCCGTTACATTGGGAGAACCATTAATGCCACTATTTTGGGGTCTTTCCCCGGGGCTGGCTCAGAGAGGGGGAGGGCCAGGGGTTTTACGGGAGGTAAGATGGTGCCCACAGATGTCCATGCCCTGATCCCTGGAATTGGTGACTATGTTATAAGGCATAAGGAGCTCTGCAGATGTGATCAGGGTTATGAACCTTAAAATAGGGAGGGCGATTTTCCTATGTTATCCAGACGGGCTCCATCTAGTAGGCGGGAGGCGGACACCGTTGAAGTCAGGGACATCCCAAGCGTGAGCAGGACCCTGGTGGCTCTGAGGCAGAGGAGTCCGGTGCCGGGGCGGAGAGGACCCGGCTGTGAGCCCGCAGGAGGGCAGGGACGCGGGGGAGGGGATGCCGGTGGAAAGGAACGCAGCCCAGGGCAGCAGGCCCAGGCCGGCACCCACTTCCTCCCGACGTCCGCGGGGGCCCAGAGGAGGCCACTTTGGCCTGAGGATTATTTTGGGCTGGAGGTAAAAGAATCAACCGATGCAGAAAGATGCCTTCCGGTGCTTCCCCCTTCTCTGCCTCAAAGTAGAAACTTCTGAGAAGTGGGGGCTGCGGTGAATCCCCTCTCCGGGGGTGGGAGAGGGGAGTTTTATGGCCACGAAGGAGACAGAAAGTCTGCGCCATCCTGGACCGGCACAGCCTCCCCCCAGGGCTGACCCCGTGCATTTGCCTTTCCTCGGTTTGCTGCCCTTGGCGCCTAGCTCCCTCTTCCTTTGTCCAGCCGCCTCTCCCGGGACGGGTTAGTCTCTGGTTCAGTGTGGCGCAGACGAGGGTGCAGCTGACTGGGCGACAGTAAAGTCAGAGGGTGCCAGGGGGGCACTGGGTGCATCGGAGACTCAGGCTGTGTCCCGCGCAAGCGGTGGGGGTGGGGAGGAGGGAGAATCAGGGCCTCGGGACATGGCTGGGAAACTCAGCAACACTCAGCTCCCACTGAAACCCAGGTTTTTTGGGGGCGGGGGGTGGACCGGCCCAGGCGAGGGAGCAGCACAGAGAGTGGGAAGGACAGCAGGCGCTGGAAGCCTGTTTGCAAAGCCGTCCTGGGTGGCCCGAGAGGGCCCTGACGTCTGCTCCCTCACCATCCCTGTCTCCGTCCGTCTGTCTGTCCATCCATGGGTCTGTGCCAGACCTACGGCTGGTGTTCCTGCCACTGCGCCCTCGTTTTAGGTGAGACAAATGACCTGGACAGCAGAGGTAAGAACCGCAAACAGGAAAGTGGAGCCGGAGCGGAAGGGAAGGGAGGAGGCCTGTGTGTGCCTTTGTAAGTGGATCACAGGACAGAGAGCAAACACGGGGACCGAGCCTCGAGCCTCGTAGCCACAGAGAGCAGAAGTTTGCAGGGGGAGGGGGGGAGTGAGGCCCGGGACCCCACATCCCAAGTGCTGGGGTAGCTGGGGGGTGGGCGGGCCCTCAGTGTCCCACCCTGGAGGTCACAGTCACCTAGGGTCCCAGACCTGATTCCTCATCTTGCCTCAAGGCCACTGGCCACCACGCATCCCAGGGGGTGTAGCCCCCTCCTCACCTTAGCAGGTGGCCCCACGGCCCTCTCTGCCGGCCTGGGGAGCCAAGTGTGGGCCGGGAAAGGGCTGGGAACAAACCAGAATGGGTGATGGGGGAAGAGGTGGCCTAATACAGTAGGGCCAGAGGTTAACAAGGGTAGCCTGTCACCCTCCTGGCTCTGGCAGGACAAAATTCTCCCCTTCAAATTATGTGCCAGGCACCGTTCTAGGCAGCGGGGAATCAGTGACGGGGGGGGGGGGGGGGGGGGGGGGGGGGGGGGGGGGGGGGGGGGGGGGGAGCTGCAAATGGTCCTCAGGACGCTGATGACACTGATGTTTCTACCTCGGGAGGAGACACAGGAGAGGAGGGTGCAGTGAGAAGGCAAACGTCCTGGGAAGAAGCAGAAAGAGCAGGATGGGCTAAGAAGGGCCCTGGGGTTGAGCTCTAGTTTTTATTTTATTTATTTATTTTTATTTATTTCTAGGAGAGAGAGAGAGACAGCGTGAGCAGGGGAGGGTCAGAGAGAGAGGGAGTCACAGACTGAAACAGGCTCCAGGCTCTGAGCTGGCAGTCAGCACAGAGCCCGACGCGGGCCCGAACCCACGAACCGCGAGATCGTGACCTAAGCGAAAGTCGGACGCTTAACCAACTAAGCCACCCAGGCGCCCCTGGGCTCTAGTTTTTAAATGGGAGATGGGAGGGTGGGGCATGGAAAAGGTGACTTTTGAGCAAAGATTGCACTTGTGGTAGTAGGAGACCTGAGGGTTAGGTCCTGGGGCAGGAGAAAGGGGCACAGTGGGTTAGCAGGGGGAGCGCAGGGAGGGGCCAGGGGAGGACTGCCTGCCCCCCCGCCCCCCGCGACCCCCCCCTCCCCCCGGGCGTGTCAAGTTCTGGGTGTGCCTGGGGATGGAGCGGCGGAATTCTGGGCGTCAGGTCACCTCGACCGCTGTGTCTTCAGGCTGAGCGCCTAGACGGGTGAGAAGGGCACGGAGGGCAGGGCAGGGGTGCCAAGCTTACTCTTGCGAGTGGGGGTGTGGGGGGCATGGGCGGAAGCCAAGCCCCCAAGGTCTGGCTCCCGGGGCCCAGCAGGTGGAGCTCTGCGAGCCCTCCCGGGAGCCCCTCGGCCTCCGCCCGGGGCGGGGCGGTTGGGGGGCGGGTAAACCTCTGGGGGGGAGGGCCTCGCCCACAGCTCGGTTCACGTCTAGTTCCCTCCGTTCCCAGCCGTTCTCCAGGGTGATTAAATAATTCTGCATTTCCAAGGAGCATTTGTTCTGGTAAACGCTTTGTAAAGCTGGCCCCGCCCCCCTGCTTTCTCAATTTCTCAGAAATATCACCGGGTCCTTACTGGCTTTGGTCCCAAGAAGGAAAGCACTATAAGCACCACAGCTCACCCTCAGGCCCAGTCTGGGCCGGTTTCCACCAGACCCTTGGATCATTCTATTTCCATTTTCTTTTTTAACCCATAGGTCCAAAACATGTTTTGTCAGAACAATTATTAACTAATACCCTTACTATATACGAAGCACTCACATTGATAATAAAACAAAACAAACACCAAGGCCCAAGGACAAACGTCCCAGGAACACAAACCAAAATCACCCACGTGCACACGCACGCCCACAGGCACACACACGTGCACGTGCACATTGCACACTCACTCGCACGTGCTGGGGAAGGTGGGGGGTGAGCCCCGCACCCTTAGGCACTGAGATGCTTTCTCTGGCTACCTCGGACAGGGCCCCGTCAAGCCAAGCTTCCGTCCAGGAAAGCCCTGAAAAGGTACCCAAGCCAGGCTGGGGGTGGGGCTGCCGAGGCCCTTCCTGGGGAGGAAGTCCAGGAAATATGCGGCCACTTTCAGAGTGAGGGCAAGCGAAGAGCCCTAGGCAGGGTCCCCTCTGTAAAGCGGGAGTGTAACCTCACCGGGAGGGTTTCTGCAGGTGGAATGAGCCCAGCCTGGAGCACGGCTAACGCAGTGTGGAAATTTCTGACAGATGCTGTTATGGACCGGAATTGTGTCCTCAAATTCATTGGTTGAAGGAGAGGAACAGACCCCAGCCTCCGTGTGATGGCAAAGACTAGGTGGCCTTCCTCGAGCCAGGGGGAGAGTCCTCTCCAGAAACTACCCCTGATGGCACCTTGATTTTGGACTTCCAGTCTGCAGAACCTCAGAAACGACATAGTTAAGCCCCCCCGGACGGTGGTATCTTGTTACAGCAGCACGTTGGCCTTGGAAGATGCCACTGTGCACATCCTCACTTTCAACAAGGACACCCCACTGCCACCGCCCTGGGGACACCACCCCAGCTAATGACAGCTGCACATCAGGCCCTGAACACACACAGAAAACAGATCCATCTCTAATTATATCATAACTCAGAGGCACGCCAATGCCATTCCGCGAGCCCTGATTTACAGGATTCATTACAAAAGCTTTTGTAAAAAAAAAAAAAAGGAAAAAGGAAAAAAGAGAAATAGGCAATGCGATCTGCTGCAAGGGTTTATTATATTTAGAGGTCTACAAATTTGATCTTTTACGAAAAAGTCACAAAATATTCAGTTGAAACCACATTTCTGGTTCATCAGATTTCAAATATATTTTACTGTGCTGAACAGTATATTCTAACGCTGTCTAAAACACAGCCAAATTAGTTTTCTTTATTCATGTATACACATCCTGTAATTTTTTGAAAACCAAGATTAAGACAAAAAATATTAACAAAACTACCCAGTTACAACTACCGTTCTCCCGAGTACTGAGATATTGATCCATCCGTGGGTCTGTCTTCTTACCTTATGCATCTGAAATTCTGTCCACCATGTGGATTGTTAACACACTCGGGAGAGTCTCTCAGCTTACATCTCCCATAAATTCAAACAGCAACACCGTGTCAGAAGATTAATTCCCTTGGCAATGCAGAAGCTTAGGTCTGTTAAAAGTCCTTGCTGTAAATTATTTTTGAATGTACAGATCATACACAGGGACAGACGACTTTAAACATTATTTCGAAATCACCGTAACATGTGGGAGGAGAAATGAAGCAATCTGCCAAATTCGACATTTTTGGTCTTTCGCTTTTATTCTTTGCTCCCTTTTAATGAAACGCGTGCTGTGAGTTGGGTTCTCCGGGCCTCTGGGGCGTCGGCTGCTTCAGGGAGCCCGGAGCCCTGGGTCACACAGCACTGGGACCCCCGTCCTGGAATGAAGGCTCTCAGCTCTCAGAGGTGGGAGAAGCCCTTTTCTCCAGACCCCCAGCTGCTGAACCAGCCCCCGCAGAAGCGAAGCGAGCTACACGCGGATATGCCAAAAGGAGGGATGTGTGCAGGAAGGAGCGCAAAACAGAAATTACGATAAAGCTTCGACTACATAAAAAATGAGAATTTCTCAAGGGAAACATTAAAAATCAGGAGGGTATGTTATACCATGTGAAAAAGCAGCAGAACATTCTGCAGAACTGCCAGGTCTTCACTGCGGCCTGCGACGTGCTCGCTGGTTCGCGTCGAGAGGCCCTTCCCCTGGCAACACTGGACACCGGGTCGGTGTTAGGAACCGTAGCGATCCTGGCGAGAGAGAACCAAGACGCGCGTTTACTGGCGCTCGGCGCCGGCTTCCCGTTCTCAGGCGCACCGAACGCTCGGCGGCCTCCAAACTGACATCGTGGGGAACATCCACCTGTCTGGCCTCTGGACCGACCGCCCCGCAAGGAGCCGGGAACTGGAAGGGGCGTGGCCACAGGGCTTCCCGATGCCGAGGTCGGCCTTGGACCAAGGACATCCTGCCCCGGACCTCTGGGGCGGCTGTGGCTCCGCTCCGCGCTGCGGGGCGGGGCGCAAAGCATCTGGGGGGCGGGGTAAGGGCTGAGCCTCTGGGCGGCAGGTGTAACACACGTGGAGTCTGAGCCCCGCTCGGCGGAGCCACCCTGCAGAAGCAACCTTACCTCTGTACCTCCGATTCTGCGTCTATCAAATAAAGATATAAAAGAGGGGTAACCTATAAAATGCGGATGGCCTTCCATAAAAGGTCACCTATAAATGACCTTCCATAAAATATGGCTGTCACCTGCTTGGAAGGCCTGATGTGGGCTCAGCTGACCTCGGGGACATGAAAGAGCCCCGTGAATTCTAACCAGAGGTTGTTCTCAACAGGGGTGAAACCGGCAGGAACCTGCATGGAGGGGATTCTCCCCCACCCGGGAAGCCCCTTCGGAGGCGCCAGAGGCCACCTGGATCAGGGCCTACCGCCCGTGGCCACGCCTTCACATTGGTGACCGCACCCTAGAGCAACATGACAGAGGAGAGCAGGAGTTTCCTGAAATAAGCCTCAAGAGACGGCCTTCCGCTGTTACAGTGAGGACCGGCTTCCTGCTTTACTCCGGAGAGGGAAATACGACGTGAGTCCCCACGTCAGGGAGCAGTTAGATAAATGTTCTGTGTTTTTGAGGAACGGAATGTAGCTTCTGAAGGATTACACAAAAACACTCATGGCACAGCACCATGGGATTGTCAACTCGTCTACACAACACCGCACTTTTTCAATTCTAAGAAGATGTGCGTAGAAATCTAGGACTAAAATAAAATGTGTAGCAACAGAAGGTGTCCTTGTGAGGAGGGATATGGGTGATTTTTTTTGTCTTACTATTTCTCTGTTCCAATACAGGAAAGACGCAGAGCCTGATCGGTTCCTGGAATAATTCCCTAGAGTCACCAACTAGGAAATTTAAGTGAAAATAAAAGTCCAGGGTCTGGTTTTCATGACGACCTGGCTCACACTGCTGCAAACGTATGAATCAGTAACAGGAAATCTAGTTTGCCAGCAGGTGAGAAGCGGTCCAAGTCGCGGTTTCAAAGCCGGAGGCCCCCCCCCCCCGGCCACACCACTCCGCTCCCGTCAGCCCATGGCACTGACCTGAATGGAAGTCATGACTCCGTTAGCAAAGACCGAGAGCTTTCCGGCAACGGATCTCACTCCCTGCTTAAACTGGGCCATGTCGGGCGCAGTGGGCAGCACGCTCGTGAGGTTGTAGCTTCCTGCACACAGAACAGATGCCGTTGGTCACTGCACCCTGGCGACAGGCAGCCCGACCAGTGCCTAGGGCGCTCCGTGACCTTAGGGGGCACGGAATCCCCTCCCTTCCTGCTTTCTGAGGCAGCAGCTGTGGGGAAGGGGGGGGTGCTCAGGGCTCAGTTTCAGTGCCAGCCAACCCCCACGCCCCTGCCCATGAACCAGCTGCAAGAACCCACATGAGAGAAGATGTCATGTTGGGTCGTGCGACCATCAGGGGTTCAAATACTGGCACCGCCACTTCCAAGCTGTGTGTCTTTGGAGAGCTTTCTCACACTCTCTGGGCTCCTGGATCCTCCAGGTGCTGAACACAAGATCTCACAGGTAAATACTCAGGAAATGGCAGATGGGCGGACAGCTCTAGTTTTGAGTGTTCCACATCTGACCCCCCCCCCGCCCCCGCTTTTGGTACAAGCCCTCCTCCCTTCCCCTGGCGAGCTCCCTGGGCTCCATCCAGAGGGGTGGGCGTGTGACTCAGCCTGGCCAATCAACGCCTTCCCGGGACTCCTGAATCTTCCTGGGAGAGGAGAGGAGCCATTTGCTTGCTCTGGGGCTGCTGGTGGTGACAAGGCAGTGCCACGGCGGCTGCCTCTGTCACCGCCACTCAGCGCAGAGGAAGCCCGCCGCAGGACAAGAGAATGAGGTCCAGTAGGGCGGGGAGCCAAATGCATACGTTTCTCTCTGATGCTTCTCTGACTCTGAGCCGGAGCCAAGCTCACTGGGCAGAACCAGACCCCCCCTTCCTGATGCCACCATCAGTTGGCTTTCTTTGCTTTGGTTTAGTTGCCGCCGGAAACACCGGCCTATCTCCCAGGCGCAGGTGAGGTCATCGGTGGGATGGCACCTAAGCGGCGGCGGCTCCAGAACGGACCACCGGGGTTTCGGGGTGAGGCTCTGTCACAGAGGGGTGACAAGCTGGAGGGGCTCCGTGACTGTGAGCCCAAACCCTGCAGGTCCTCGGAGGGCCAGGCCCGGTTCCCCCGCACGACCCAGCTGCGCCCACCTGCCCCTTGAGCCACAGAAGCCAGTTCCCTTTCCAAGGACAAACAGAATGGGTATGCTTGTCCTTCTGCACAGATGCCGCCCGAAAGGGACAGTGTTGACCCACGGCACCGCCCCCATGCCCACCATGCAGGGAGGGGCCACAGCCGCAGGTTCCTCCCCTCTCTGCCTCCAGCTGACTTTTTATTTATTTTTTATTTTTTTAATTTTTTTTTTTTTAATATTTTTATTTATTTCTAGGAGAGAGAGACAGCGTGAGCAGGGGAGGGTCAGAGAGAGAGGGAGTCACAGACTCTGAAATAGGCTCCAGGGTCTGAGCTGGCAGTCAGCACAGAGCCCGACGCGGGGCTCGAACCCATAAACTACGAGATCATGACCTAAGCGAAAGTTGAAAGTCAGATGCTTAACCGACTAAGCCACCCAAGTGCCCCTATTTTTTTTAATTTCTTTTAAACATTGTATTTATCTTTGAGAGACAAAGAGAGACAGAGTACGAGCAGGAAAGGAGCAGAGAAGAGGGAGACACAGAATCCAAAACAGGCTCCAGGCTCTGAGCTATCAGCACAGAGCCCGACGTGGGGCCTAAGCCCACAAACTGTGTGAGATCATGACCTGAGCTGAAGTTGGACACTCAACCAACCAACCCAGGCGCCCCTCCAGCTGACCTTTTAAAGTTTTGTAGGCCTTTGCCAGTAACAGAGTGGAGGCCCAGCCTGGTCATTGGATCTGGGTTCAAATCCTAGGACAGCTGCTCACCCCTGTTGCTATTGGGCTAAAGATGGGTCTTTACAGAAAACAGGAAGCTAGTGTGAGATCCTGAGTGTGCAGAGCCACGGCCACAGCTGTGCCATTACCTGGAGAGGCCCAGTGTCTGGGTGGGTCTGGACCAGAGGTCAGTGGGGGTGACATTCGCAGAGGCCGTTCCATGTATGAGTTTCCAACTTGAGAAAATTTTAAAGAAGACCGCACAGCTGAGGCGGGACAGCTCTGGGACCATGAGCCCTCACTGACTAGGTTCAGTCCCCAGGTGCCCTGAGATGGCAGCCCCTCCCCTAGAGTGATTCATTTCCTCTCCTCCCCTTCTCTATACAGAGCTCCCAGATTCTAACCCTTGCAACAAGGTGTGTTCAGGTGACAGAGTTCTGGCCAATGGGATGGAAGCTGAAGTGCCTTCCAGAGCTGGGGCCTGCCCTTTTTCCTCCCTCTTCCTCCTTCCTGCTAGCTGGGATGCAGATGTGATGGCTAGGGCTGGGGCAGCCATATTGGGCATGAGGTGAGGTGCAGAGTGGAGGTCATGAGTAACAAGAGGAAAAGGGCCTAGGTCCTTGGCATCTGGGAACACAGCTCATATCCTGAACTGCCTCCCCGGAGTCCTATGTCGGAGAGAAACAAACTCAGATCTGATTTAGTCTCCGTTATTGTGCACCTTTACTCCTTTCTTAATCCTCCCTAAGGATCTAAGCTCCTGGGAGTGTAAGTAGCCGGTAGCTCCTGAACGGGCCTCAGGTCTCTGGCAAGGAGGTGCCTTCCCACCCTCCGCCCGCAGGTCTGCTGCCTGCAAGCATCTGAAAGCTGCCTGACGGCCTCCTGTGTCCATGAGGTCTCCCTCCTCCTCTCGTATCTGGGTGCCAGATCCTGTCTGAGGGTTGCCCAGGGCAGCAGAGCCCCAGTGCGCTCAGACTACACAAGGGCTCCAAGAAACGAAGGCTCAAGCTGCTTCCTCAGGAAGAGGCTCCCTGACCTATGTGTAGGGACCTATGTCCTGTCCAGGTCAGGTGCCTGGTCTCCCTGCTACCTATCTGTTCCCATAATACCCCCATGGGGCTTGGTGCTGAGAGCATCCACACAAACCTGCTTTACCAGAATGTACTGCCTCCTGGGGAAGGCAGGCAATCAACCAATGAGAGCACTGGGCGAGCATGGCCAGCAGTTAGAGGCCACGTGGCAGCCCAGGTGCATGTGGCCGTGGCCGAGCCTTAGCCCGTGGCAGTGGAGTAGGTGAGTCTGAGTGTCCTGAGGAGGCTCACGGACCGACGGGCAGTGGGGGAGCTGGGAAAGAGAAAACTTAAGGCTGATTCCCAGGTTTCTGGCTCCAGCACCGGGAAGATGGACTGACAGAGCCAGAGGCCCTGGAGTGTTTAAGTGGGGGCTGGGGGCCAGCAGAGCCACGTCATGGTAAGCGGTTGGCATGGAGGCTCTGTATCAGGCAGGAAGGCCCAGTGACACTGTGCTAACGCCTCACGGCGTCCGCCACGACTCGGCAGGGGGTCTGCTTTGCACAGTGGCTCGAGATGCAGGCCCACGGGGCTGTCCCGCAGTGGAAGCCGCCGCGGCCACCTCCGCAGAGAAGGAGCCATGGCAATGGCTCGCAGCACCTACTGCTGGCCTTGCAGCAACACACTTGTTGCAAGGGGTGGCCCTGGTGGCACTGGAAGGGGCGCGAGCACAGTGGGGACCACGCTCCTGCGCCCGGCTGTCAGAGGGGCCCACGGACCGGCGCCCCGGCTTCCAGAGCTCCTTAGTTACCCGTCCACTCAGTCACTCAAAAGATGCTTCCTAAGGGCTTTGTCTGTGCCAGGCCTGCCAGCTGCCAGGGGCAGAAGTGAGAACTGGCAGGTCCCATCCCTGAAGGGCTCACGGTCCAGGCAGGGGGGTGGCCTCGCCCCTGGTGACAGCACAGGGTGCTGAGAGCATGCGCCCAGGGCTGGAGCGCGAAAATGCTGAGAACCGAGCCTGGAAAGGGCACCGGGAGCCGAGAAGCAAGCGGTGGGCAGCTGGGGGCCGGAGCTGCAGGCCAGCCACGGCAGGATTTGAAACCAGGGGGACCAGAGGGTTCTGTGCAGAATCAGCCTGGGGAAGGGGGAAGGCGAAGGGGGAAAGGGGAAGAAGGAAGGGGTGGCCGCAGGCGGTGGGAGGGTGATGCTGTGGGAGCCGGGGGAGCCGGGGACAGTGCCCAGGCTCCTCAGTCAGTCAGTTTTCAGCAGCCGATCATGTACCCGTTTCCCTGAAATGGGGATGAACGGCGAGAAAAGAAGGGTTTCCAAGGTGACCTGAGTGACAGGTTTAGAAACGCACAGAGCACGGCAGTGACCTCTGTGCCCCGCGCCGGGGTGATGAGACTCCGGGCGACAACACCATGGCACAGCTGTGACGCGTGACAAACGTCCACCGACGGACCAAACAAAATCACCTGGGTGCGGACTGAGGCCCGCGCTTTGAGATCTACGGGCCCCGAGGAGGTCACAGGCGTGGGCTGCCAGCCTGAGTCAGGGGGAAAGAAGAGAGCGGCTGAGGGGACAAGAACCCAAATGGCGCCTGGAACAGACGAGAGCGGGGGAGGGAAGGGTCTCAGCGTCTCTGGCCTTGGAGGCGGCCTCGCTCAGACTCAAGTAATCGGAATCCCGTTCCTGAGAGAAGCACCCGAGGGGGCAGGCTGGGTGCGGGGTTGCCTCTGCTCCAGGGCCGGCTCTCCCAAGCTGCCTCGCTCCGTCATTCAGTGCCCTGAGTGGCTGCGTCCCCAGGCAGGGCCCAGGGGGTGGGAGTCCCAGCTCCCCCTGCGGACCCTGCTCTGGGAGGGGGCCCCAGGGACCGCCGCGATGCCAGGCTGGTGGCAGTGCTTATTGTGTCTTTGACTGGGTCCTTCTGGTATCCTGAAAGGGAAGCGCCCTTGAGCAGCGTCCAGGCTCCTGGATTAACATCCCGGGGAGGCACCTCGAATCTGGGATGATTCCCCCCCCGCACCCTCCCCCCCCACGATGAAACTGTAAAGGACACTGTGAGCTCCTCAACGCCCAAGACCTCACGGACGGGAAAGCTTCTAAGGTGAGAAAACACAGAATAGTCTATTAAACCAGCTTTTGCTGTTCGCTGAAATGCCCTCTCGACAAAAAGTAAATATTTAATAAGAGTTGTTCAATGCATTTACATTTATGGCCGTTACCGAAGGCAACTCTTATGACGTGCTTGATGGAAGATGCGGAACGAGGGTGACCGCGGTCGGAGCCGTGGCCTTGGATGGAGGAGGGAGCGCGGGAGGCCAGGGAGGGGGGCGGGCGGTGGCACCCTTGCTGTGACCCTGAGTTTGGGACCCACACGGGGCCCAAACAATTAAAGAACCTTTGTTCTCTGAAAGGGGACAGGAAAGTAAACATGGGCTGGCCACAAGTTTCCTTCAACAACTGGGAAGGCTGTTTTCATTTGATCTCCAAATGTTTTGCTTTTTTTTAAAAACAGTGTTTCAGAGTGAAACTTGCGATACTTGAATTACAAAACCACACACAGCTGGTTGGGGGAGGCGACTTTCAACACCTGAGGTTCTAGGGGGCTGACCTGATGCCCTGGGGGATGGAGGTGGGGCTGCTCCCCTCCGAAGGGCGCAGGGCCAGCACCCCTCCACCTGGGAAGGCACAGGAGGAAGTCCCCGACAAGAGAGAAGAATACAAGTCCAGAGGCCACCCTGCCCCACCTGGCCTGAGAGCCGCAGTGTGAGGCTGGGGTCCAGCGCCGACCCTGGAGGGTTCCCCGTCCCCCACCCCTCCTTCTGGGCCGATGTATCCTCTGGGCCGGGAGCAGCAAGCAGCCTGGTGTGCTTACGGCACCCGAGGGCTGAGGTGGATCTTCCCCAGACCCCAACACTGAAGGTTCCAGGCACTCAGTCTGTCCCCACCTCCTCTCCTGAGGCTGTTTCTCGCCGGACTCAGAAAACAGTTGTTCTCTGCAGCTGCCCGTGCTGGTCAGCTGTGCCCATGCCTGGCTCCTTGGGTTTGGGGACGAGTGCAGGTGGCCCTGGGCCCGGAGCACTTGGCTCTGGAGACCCCCCTCCCCCTGGGCCCCCCTGCTGAGTGGGTTCCTGAAATGACTTCAGAGGACACTGCTCCTTTAACGTGAGCTGTGATGAAGGGGCAACACGCAGCCTTCCCCTCGCCCTTGGCCGGGCTGTGGCCTGGGCGGGACTCAGTCACGGCTCAGGGGCCAGAGGTACAAGCAGAGAGTGGGGCTCCCAGACATCTCTCGTCAGTGGGGTCTGGACCCTCAGAGGGACAGGGAGACAGGAAATTCCCCTGCACCTGCCCGTTTCCAAAGCCACATTCTGCCTTCCCTGGAGGACCGAGCCTGGTGAAGTCCCCGGTTCTAGCTGCTTCTGGCTGCCAGACACCCAGGGGGCACTTTACACACCGTACTTCACGTAAGCCTCAGGGCCACCTTGTGCGGGATGTATTATCTGCCCATGTCACAGCGGGGAGTCTGGGGCTAAAAATGACAGGAGACACTCAAGGTCTCAGGCAGGGAGTGGTCGGTGACAGCTAGGAGCCCAGGGCTGTCCCCCTGCAAGGCTGTGACGCCACACACATCAGATACCACCTCAGCACTGGGCTAGGAAACACTGTTCCAGGAACATGACTTCTTGGGGAACCTGGGGCCGTTGCTTAAATGTCCCGACCTGGTCTCCTCACATGCAAAGTGCGAAACGGTAACTTCTGCCCTGACTCACAGAGGGGGTTAGTATCGCATAACGGTCACTGGTGATCTTAGAAAAGTAAAAAGTTCGGGGTGCCTGGGAGGCTCAGTCGGTTAAGCATCCGACTTCAGCTCAGGTCATGGTCTCACAGTTCATGGGTTCGAGCCCCGCGTTGGGCTCTGTGCTGACAGCTCAGAGCCTGGAGCTGCTTCAGATTCTGTATCTCCCTCTCTCTCTAACTCTCCCCTGCTTGTGCTGTCTCTCTCTCAGAAATAAATAAAACAGGGGCGCCTGGGTGGCTTAGTCGGTTAAGCGTCCGACTTTCGCTTGGGTCATGATCTCGCGGTTCGTGGGTTTGAGCCCCGCATCGGGCTCTGTGCTGACTGCCAGCTCAGAGCCTGGAGCCTGTTTCAGTCTGTGACTCCCTCTCTCTCTGACCCTCCCCTGCTCACGTTGTCTCTCTCTCTCTCCTAGAAATAAATAAAACATTAAAAAAAAAAAAAAGAAAGAAAAAAAACATTAAAAAAGATTAAAAAAAAAAAGAAAAGTAAAAACTTCTACGCAGAGGAAACATACTCATGCCGTAGACACGATGGACACCGACCTTGTCAGCGGCCCCTCCCCCCATTACCTGCCGTCTGCTTCCTCTGCTCATCAAACAGGTCTGCCGAGCTGATGGAGGAACTGGCGGAAAGCCTCTCCAGCCGGGCCCTGGTTTCATACTAGAGAAGACAAGGAATAGGAAACATTAGGCTCCAAAGGCTGTGAGCAAATCTGTAGAACAAATCAGCGAGGAGCAGTCATTTGACAGGTGCTCAGTGAGGGGTTGGGGACCAGAGAGCAGTAGAGCACCTCTGTCACAGTGACCAGCGGCCAGCAGAGGCCACTGCGCAGCTGGCCACATCGGCTCCATGACTTTCAAAGTAGACTTAAATGTGGCCAGCTTTAAAATAAGGCAGCTTTTAGGACATAAGGTAGGAGCAAGTGGTAACTCTAAGCTCCTGAAGTGCTGGTCAAAGTTCTGTTGCTACAGAATAGACTCAGTGCCTTTAGGATGCAGCTCCCTGTGCCACCCAAGAAACCTGGCAGTGACGCGCATCTCTGAGAGCTTTAGGCAAGCACGCCAGCACCCCAAAGTTAGAAAAAAAGCTTGGGCCTCTCCATTACCGTATGATCTGCCTGCATAGCAAGACTTCTCTAAGGCAAGAGGCAATAACCTGAAAATATATACACCTTCCCCAAACGTATCTATGTACTTCATTTAACTTCATTAATAATAATTCAAAAATTAGGTAAATCACAGCTGTATCAAAAATTGCCTGAAAATTTCCCCAAAGATACTAAATAGACGTGTGTTCCAAACACTGAGAAAGGAATTAGAGAAACGTGAGACATGGTCCCTACTTTCTAGCCTCTTCTCCAGCGGGAACAGCGAGGGGGAGTAGTCAGGAAGGCCTGGGTTTGAGTCCTGACTCCATCCATCACCCTGGGGCCAGGGGCCTCGCACAGCCCGAGTCCATCCCACTCTGTGCCTCTCACCTCCTCTCCCGGTTCCCATGTCCCTGCTCGCTTCCTGCCTGGTGGGGCTCCCGCACAAACTCTCTGGACACTTACATCAGCTTGGGCTTGTCTTCCAAAGTACATATCTGATGAGATGGCTTTGACGTTGCCAAACTTCTTCTGGGCCTCATCTGTATTCTCAGCTGGCTCATAGTCTGGTTTACGGCGGGCAGTAGGTCTGTAATTAAAAACAGCCAAAATAGGAGTGACGTCAGCGAGATGGTGAAATAGGGGGTTTTCTGCTGTGTCCCCTAGGGAACACCGGCCGTGACCAGTGTCCACAGGTAAGAATGCCTCTGTGGGGGCGTGGGATGCCTTCCAACGCTCTGTGCACCTCACCCACGTACCTCCCGCCCTTCATAGTCGGCTCCGGGCACAAGTGCCCCACAGATGCCTGTGAGCATGTGCAGAAAGCCAGCCCCACTCTGAGACTGGGAGGCAGGGAGCATTTCAGGGCACTGAGGGAAAGTAAACAGGAGGCTCGAGCACCTGGCCTGGCCTTGTGGGATTGAGAGACGGCCTATCATCTTAAGAATTCACTGCCAAAAGGGAATGAGAAGTGTGGAGTGGCATTTCCATAGACAAGCTCTGAGGAAGCATCAGGATCCCTAGCAGGGCTGCTGGCGAAGGCATTTCTCACCCAGAGCCGGTAGAGACAGGAGGAGGGGACTGGCTCTTCAAATAAAAAGACAACACAAGACACAAAGCAGCAGGATGAATCGAGGAAACATGACACCACAAAGGGAACACAGTAATTTTCCAATGACTGATCCCAAAGAATTGCCTGGCAACGATTTCAAAATAATTGTTTTAAGGAAGCTCAGGAACCTATAAGAATACACACAACTCAGTGAAACCGGGAAAATAACACGCAAACAGAATAAGGAGTTCAGCACAGAGACGGAACTTATAGAAAGGAACAGAACAGAACCTCTGGAGCTGAAGAATACAGCAGGGGAGACCCAGACTTAGTCAAGCAGAAGGATTTGTAAACTCGAAGACAGGTCATTTCAAATTATCCTGTCGGAGGAGAAAAAAGAAGGAAAAAGAGTGAAGAAAGCCTACATGAATTATGGGACACCGTAAGAAAATAATGTATGCATTATGGGAGTCCCATCTGAAGAGGAGAAAGGGGCAAAAAGCTTATTGCAAGAAATAATGGCTAAAAACCTCCCAAATCTGGAGAGAGATACGGACATTCAGGTACATGAAGCTCAAAAGTCCCCAAAGAGATTTAACCCAAAGAGATCTTTACCAAGACACATTATAATAAAATTGTTAAAAGTCAAAGACAAAAAGAGAGAAAGATAAATACCATATGATTCAACTTATAAAATAAACCTTTAAAAGAAACATGAATAAACAAAAAAAAGGGCAGAGTCAGAACTATAAATACACAGGACAGACGATGGTTGCCAAACAGAAGGGGGGTGAGAGGACAGGCAAAATGGGCGAAGGGGAGAGGGCGATACAGGCTGCCAGCTATGAAATGAGTAAGTCATGGGAATAAAAAGTAGAGCATAAGGGGGAAAAGAAAGAATTTTTAGTTTCTTGGGTTTTTTTTTTTTTTTTTCGGGGGGGGTTGAGAGAGAGAGAGAGAAGAGGCAGAGAGAGGGAGAGAGAGAGAACCTCAAGTAGACGCCACATTGTCATGGGGGACTCGAACCCACAAACTGTGAGATCATGACCTAAGTAAAAGGAAAAGTCAGATGCTTACCTGACTAAGCCACTCAGACGCCCCCCAAAAAAAGAATTTTTAAAGCAACAAGAGAAAAGAAACTCATCATGTACAATGGAATCCCTGGGAGACCATTAGCAGATTTCTCAGCAGAAACCCAGCAGGGCCAGGAGGTGAGGTGGTGGGGATGAGGGTGGGGGGGCAGGATATTCAAAGTGAAAAAAACAAAACGCTGCCAACCACAAGACTTGTGTGACTTGTGTCACAGAAATGCTAAGAGGGGTTCTGGAAGCTGACCTGATGAATGGTAATTAGTAACATAAAAACATGAAAGTATAAAACTCACTGGTAGAGGTTAAGTGTACAGTCAAATTCAGAATACTTGAATGCAGCAATGGTGGTGTATAAATTACTTACCTCTATATAAAACTTAAAAAACAAAACTGTTAAAAATAACTATAGCTACAATAATTTGTTAGTGGATACAAAATATAAAAAGGAGTGATTTGCGACATCAAAAACATAAGATGTAAAGGGGGGTAGAGTAAAAGGGTAGAATTTTTGTATGTAATCTAAGTTAAGTTGTTATCCACTTAAAATAGACTGTTATAGGGGCGCCTGGGTGGCTCAGTTGGTTGAGATTCCAACTTTGGCTCAGGTCATGATCTCCCAGTTCGTGAGTTTGAGCCCCGCGTCAGGCTCTGTGCTGACAGCTATAGAATGTATACAGACTGCTATAACTATAAGATGTTTTATGTAAGCTTCATGGTAATCACAAGGCAAAAAATCTACAGTATACACACAAAAGATAAAGATAAAGAAACCAAAACATATCACTCTGGAAAATCAATTCACAAAGGAAGACAGTAAGAGAGGAAGAAAGGAATAAGGGAATCACCAAACAGCCAATGAACAATTACTGAGATGGCATTAGTAAATCCTTACCTATCAATAGTTACATTAAATATAAATGGGTTAAATTCACTAATCAAAAGACACTGAGTGGCCAGATGGATTAAAAAACAAGGTCCAACGGCATGCTGCCTACAGGAGACTCCCTTCAGCCTGAAGAATGCACATAGGCAGAAAGTAAAGAGACTGAAAGATATTTCAAGCAAATGTAACCAAGAGAGAACAGGGAGAGCCACACTTATATCAGATGAAGTGGACTTCAAGCCAAAAGCTGTAACAAGGGACAAAAGTCATTATATAACTATATCCATCTATAATATCAATTGTAAATATATATGCACCAACATTAGAGCACCCGAATATATGACACAAATATTAACAGATATGAAGGGAAAATAGTAATCACAATAGGAGACTTCAGTACCCCACTTTCAATAATGGACAGATCATCCAGAAAGAAAACCAAGAAAAACTGGACTGCAAACAGTATTTTAGACCAAAGACACAAACAGATACATTCAAGACATTCCATACAAGAGCAGCAGAACACACATTCTCAAGCACACATAGAACATTCTCCAGGACAAATATATTAGGTCACAAAACAAATTTAAATCATATGTTAGGTTTAAGAAGGCTGAAATCATATAAAGCATCCTCTCCAACCACAGTGGTTGAAAGTGGAAATCAGTGATGGGAGAGAGGAGAACTGGAAAATTCACAAATATATGGAAATTAAACAACACACTTCTGAGTGACCAGTGGGTCAAAGAAGAGATTGAAAGGGAAATAAAAACATATCTTGAAACAAATGAAAATGGAAACTCAACATACCAAGACTCATGAAACACAGCAAAAGCAGTTCTAAAAAGGAAGTTTATGGCCACCAGGTTATCTGAAAAGATGCTCAACATCACTCATCATCAGGGAGATGCAAATCAAAACCACACTGAGATGTCACCTCACACCTGTTTGGGTGGTAATTACCAAAAGAGAGAAGCATTAATGAGAACTGGGGAAAAGGGAAGCTCTGTATGCTGCTGGTGAGAACGCAAATTAGCACAGCCATATGGAAAACAGTACGAAGGTCGGTCCCTCAAAAAATAAAAAACAGAGGGGCGCCTAGGTGGCTCAGTTGGTTAAGCATCTGACTTTGGTCATGATCTTACGGTCATGATCTCGCGGTTCCCGAGTTCCAGTCCCACTTTGGGCTCTGTGCTGACAACTCAGAGCCTGGAGCCTGCTTCTGGTTCTGTCTCCCTCTGTGTCTGTCCCTCCCTCTCTTACACTCTGTCTCTCTCTCAAAAGTAAATAAACATTAAAAAATTTTTTTTCACTTAAAAACAGAACTACTAGTTGGTCTCGCAATCCCACTTCTGGATATGTATCTGACGCAAACAAAACCAGTATCTCGGACAGATGTGCGCACTGCCACGTTCACCACAGCATCCTTCACAGCAGCCATGATTCATGTCTGTGGATGGATGAATGGATAAAGAGAATATATATACAGTGGAACGTTATTCAGCCATTTAAAAAAGGAAATCCTGCCATCTGTGACAACAGGGAGGAGCCTGCAGGCCATCATGCCAAGTGAAATAAAGCAAGAAAAATACAGCATGATTTTGTTGAGATGTGGAATCTAAAGTTAAAAAAAAAAAGTCAAACTCATAGAGTAGACTGGTGTTTCCCACAGGCTTCCAGGGAGGGGAAGTTAGCAGATGTTCAGAGGGTGCACACTTCCACTCAGGGGATGAGTAAGTCCTGGGGGTGGGAAGTATGGCACGGGGACTCTAGTAAGTGACACCGTCCTGTGTACGTGAAACTCGCTAGGAGTACACATCTTACGTGCTGTCAGCACACAAAATGGAAACAAACGAAAAAACCCCAGCCCAAACAGGTTAAACTGACTTGAGGTGAGGCAAATGCATTTCTCATTTATAATGTATACTAATGCCACTTTGCTTTTTATTTATTTATTTATTTATTTATTTATTAATGTTTTATTTATTTCTGAATTTCTGAGAGACACACACACACACACACACACACACACACACACACAGCGTGAGCAGGGGAGGGGGCAGAGAGAGACACACACACAAAATCCAAAACAGGCTCCAGGCTCTGAGCTGTCAGCACAGAGCCTGACGCGGGGCTTGAACCCACAAACCACAAGATCATGACCTGAGCTGAAGTCGGATGCTTAGCCGACTGAGCCACCTAGGCACCCTGCCATTTTGCTTTTTAAAAAGCTGACAGAAGTAATTTTGTAAAAGGATTTCAGCCCACTTTAAAAGGCCTGAAAATTCGAACAAAACATGGATAAATATCCAAGGCACCCAACATTTGAAGGAATTTTCCCACTGAAACAGAGCAGCCATTTCGATCTTCAGCTCCCTATGGAGGGGAATTGGTGAATACTGAGCACACTGCTTGTGACGCAGGGAAGACACTGCTCTGCGTCATGTAGGACACAGAACCAGTAGACGGGCTGTACCCTGTGGTCACCCAGCTTAGTCCCGGGCTGTGCCTGCATCCCAACATACTACCAGGGTCTCCCTGCACTCTCGGCAGCTCCCTGGTTTGGACAGGAGGTTGTAAAGTCTGTCATTCGCAGTCACCAACGACTGGAGATAGTTTTTCGGCAGGCAAATGGACAAACACCTCAACCACAAAGAGGAAGGCGCATCATGACAAGCGTCCCACACACACCATGAAAAGTCAAAGAAGGCAGTCTAAGGAGGCCAGGTACTACTGTAGGATTCTACTTATAGGACATTCAGAGAAGGGCAAGATTGTGAATCCAGAAAACAGACCAGGATGCAAAGAATACTCCTGAAATAGTAGAATAAAATCATTTGCTAGTCTTAGAGAGTTTCCCTGGAGATGCACGGCCTCCCTGTTTACAATCCCGCTGCTCTCTGTGCACACCTGTCTGAATAGCCCGTGGATTTCAGGACAGCGTCGGTATCTTTGATGGTTTCTTTTTTCCAGAAGGAATCTGAGCTGTCATCCCAGCTGGAAAAAGAACTGCTCCTCAGCTCCATCGGCTCGTCAAAGTACCTGTATGAGAAAGAAGGACATGGTGACAAGGGAGACCTTACGCCACAGGGGGTGGCGTGGCGGCCACGCTTCCTGGGCCTTGCGGGTGGGGTGGTCATGTGACTACAGCTGACCAACGGAACAGGAGCAGGTGTGGGGAGGGTCGTTTCCAAGGCCTTTAAAGCACCTGTGCTCCTCGCCCAGTCCCCTCTTCCTGTGTCACCTGAAAGATGAGGTGGTTTTCCAGGTGCTCCAGCCTCAGGCAGGAGAAGCCTCCATCCACCTGGAAGATCAAGGTGCTACCCAAGGGATAATCACCTGTACCCGCAGCCAAACAAGCAACAAACCACTGTTGTGTTAAGCCTTTAAGACAGGGGTCGGTGGCAGGGGGATGCTTGTCAGTGCAGCCTAAGCCGGCCCATCTGGATGGCACCGGATGCCTCTGAGTGTCCTTCCTCACTAGCCGTTACATGTTCTGCTTTCTTTGGGTCTAGTTCTGCCTAATCGGGTGGTCACAACACAAACCCCACTCGAGGAGTTCGTTGTCGGCAGCCCCTGCCAGGTAAGCCCCAGTGGCCGGCGGCAGGTCCTAACAGTAGCTGCCGCCTAACGTGAACGATGCTAATGAGCCTCTTCGCAGAGTCAGATACACAGCGACGGATGCCTGATCGCTGGACCGCTGTGCGGCTGCTCCTTCAGCCTGGAGCTTGATGCGGGCGTGATCTGGCAGCATCTGGCTGGGTTTACACTTTCACTAGCTGAGGATCACTGGGCAAGGCCTTGCTCAGAGGGCAGAACTCCCTGGGAGCTTTCAGGCCTGCGTGGTTCCAGGGCAGAGAGCGGTAGGTGAGGGGGATGTGCCAGAGCCTTAGGAAGTGACCGCGCCTTCTCAGAATTCACAACAGCTGAGGATGGAAGACAGCCCTGCCAGATACGCTCCTTTTATTTACTTATATTTTTTAATGTCTATTTATTTATTTTGAAAGCGAGAGAATGGAGAAGGGGCAGAGAGAGGGCGGGAGGAGAGAGAGAATCCCAGGCACAGAGCCCCACACAGGGCTCGATCTAACAAATGGAGAGATCATGACCTGAGCCAAAATCAAGAAGTGGATGCGTAACAGATCGAGCCGCCCATGCGCCCCCAACTCCTTAAACATGGAGTTCCAGAAGCTCAGGAGAGACAGATTCCAAGGCTTAGGTCTAGAGAGAGGAAGATGATGGAAGAGAATGCAGAGGCTTTCTGTCAAAAATGTCACCAGCTTTCTGCAGAGTAAGAAAAGAAACGCATGAGATACGTGGTGAACATCGAGCTCAGGGGTCACGAGGAGCCGTACCAGGACGGAAAGCCTGGGCAGTCAGAGGGGCCAGTAATCAAAGATGAATATAAGAGGGGGGCAAGAGCCTGTAGGAAAAAACAGGCCAAGGGCCCAGATGAGCTAAGATTTGAGGGGTTGGAAATGTTAAGGACAAACATACATTTTCCGGGTTAAAAAAAAAAAAAAAAGCGAAGGGATAAACTTGCTATTTGAAGCAGATGGTGGGGCTCTACGTGGATAATAAAGAGAAACAGAATTTCCAGAGGGGGCTCCGCCTTCTCTGGCGAGGGGGTCCTTAAGAACAAATCTGCATCCACTAGCCTTCTCTCCCCTGTAAGGAAGTCGCAGGCTCAGAGTAGACCCGCGTTTCAGGGAGAACCGGGCCAGGCCCTCTTGGGGGCTGATGGGTGGGTGGGCCCCAAGGCCCGGGCTCTGCCCAGAGGAGCAGTGACTGCCGGTCCCTGTTGAGGAGGGACCTGGACAAGGAGACTTTAAGTGGCTCAGAGAAAGAGGGCTTGCAAGACGCAGGAGGCACACTGGCCCAAAAGTTACCTGCAGTTATTTAGCGAAAGAATCAGGACCAAGTCAATGAGGAATTTGAAAAATACTTAACAAGCATCTATCTAAGAGGAGGAGCTGGTGCTCTGCTAGACGGGGACACGGGGCAAGGACACATACTCGGTCCCTGCCCTCATGGGGCTGGCTGGTTTGAGCTCAGAAACCCAGCGAGCTAGGTAAGTAAAGGCATCATTCCTCACAGAGCCGCCCTGGGACTGAATGCCTGCTCGGGGAGTGGGGTGGGGGGTGGGGGGCCGCACGGTCCCCTGGAGGATGCTGGGGGCGGGAGGGCGCTAAGGACTGGACAGGAGGTGGTTGGAACGTCCAGGCTCTTCACAACTCTGAGCTGCTGGGACTTAGGATTTTGCAGATTTCGCTCCAAGGAAATGTTCTTCATTTGTAGAAGTCCAAGTGCTTATCTTGGAATATAAACCTGTCAGAGTTTTTCAATGACTGCATTATTCACAAGTCAGGAGTGAGACAGCCATTGTGCTCGGGTCCTACTCATCAGCAGGGAGCACTGGGCAGTGCTAGGTGCCGGGGCGGTGGGCATGGGGGGGCTCTGTGACAGACGTGGGAAGCATACAGCAGCCCTGTGGCCGCAGACAGCTGCCCCACCAGTTGGAAGGATGGGCTGACTGACCACCGATGGCCGCAGGGCACCTGCTTGACCTTAGAAACACACTGGCAGTCCCGATTTCCAATCTTTACTGACTTTTTTTTTTTAATGCTTATTTTTGAGAGACAGAGTGACCTGAGCTCAAGCTGGACGCCTAGCCGACTGAGCCACCCAGGCGCCCCTATACTGACTTCCTAATGTTCTGATTTCTAGATCCTGGTTCTCAGTGCTTTTCACTTGTATTTTTTGCTCTTTCACTCTGTCTTCATCCAAGCCTGAAGACATTCCTTGCAATCCCTTGATACCCTGATAGCACGTATCTGATTTGCAGCTGGAGACAACCATCTTTTCCAGTGAAGGCCACGCTGACTGCATGAGGCTGAGCGAACTGCTTCATTATTTTGTACACTGTATATAATTACACTGTGTACATCCTGAATATAATGGAACTCAATTTGAAAAATCCCAAAGATATGGTAGATCTTATTTTTCATAGAAATAGCACTCTTCCATAATTTATAATGTTCAAGTCTTAATGGGCTAATGAATAATTTGGAAGCAGTGCAGGCTCCTCATGGAGCTAATATGCCGGCTCTCCCGGAGGCTGTGTTTACGATCCGTCCATCGCCTGAGTACTAAGAGCACCCTTGTTCCCTATCAGCAGTGGTCACAACCAAGGAGGCTGGATAAGGCACTCATGGGGTGCGTGGGTGGCTCGGTCGGTTAGTGTCTGATCTCGGCTCAGGTCACGATCTCGTGGTTTGTGAGTTCAAGCCCCGCGTCGGGCTCTGTGCTGACAGCTCGGAGCCTAGAGCTGCTTCAGATTCTGTGTCTCCCTCCCTCTCTGCCCCTCCCCCACTTGTGCTCTCTCTCTCTCTCTCTCTCTCTCTCTCTCTCTCTCAAAAATAAACATTAAAAAGTTAGGGGTGCCTGGGTGGCTTAGTCAGTTAAGCGTCCGACTTTTGCTTAGGTCATGATCTCGCGGTTTGTGGGTTCGAGCCCCACGTCGGGCTCTGTGCTGACTGCCAGCTCAGAGCCTGGAGCCAGTTTCAGTCTGTGACTCCCTCTCTCTCTGACCCTCCCCTGCTCACGCTGTCTCTCTCTCTCTCTCCTAGAAATAAATAAAACATTAAAAAAAAAAGTTAAAAAAAAAAAGGGCACTCATGGTCCTGGTAGACAACATGAAGGTGACAATGACACCCAGGTCTCTCGGGGGGGGGGGGGGCACTAAGTGTCACCTACAAAAAAAACACCTGCTCCAGGGTTTCCAACCATAAATAATTGTTTCATAGCAATGAGGTCCTTTAGGACTAATTCTTTTAACTAAGCTTCTGGAGAAGGAGAAACCTCCAGGATTCATGAGGCTCCTGACAAGGCAGATAAAGCCCCCTGGGATCCTGTGAGTGACCTGGGGCCAGTGATGTTCTCCAGAAGTTTCTCAGGGCCCGTTCCATGGGTAACTTCACCTGTCGCCATTTCTTTTCAACTCGGCCACCACACAGCGGTGCTGATTTAAATTGAAACGTCTTGGGGCACCTGGGTGGCTCAGTGGGTTGAGCCTCTGACTTTGGCTCAGGTCATAGTCTCACGTTTGTGAGTTCGAGCCCCGCGTTGAGCTCTGTGCTGCCTGGAGCCTGTTTCAGGTTCTGTGTCTTCTTTCCTCTTGCTCTGTCCCTCCACTGCCCTCACTCTGTGTGTGTGTGTCTCTCTCAAAAATAAATAAATAAATAAAATTGATTGAAATGTCTTGTCTTTCCTCTTCCATGCTTTCATGGGCGGGAGTCGCTAATGTGCAGTGACATCATCAAAAAGGTGCAGAGACACCAGATGGGCCAGCATAGAACCTGTACCAACTATAGTTTCCTCTGACTAAGATCCACTCCTCATTTAGAGAGCAAATTAGAGAGGCGTCTGGGTGGCTCAGTTGGTTGAGCGTCTGACTTCAGCTCAGGTCATGATCTCGTGGTTTGTGGTTCATGAGTTCAAGCCCCGCATCGGGCTCTGTGCTGGCAGCTCAGAGCCTGGAGCCTGCTTCCAATTCTGTGTCTCCCTCTCTCTCTCTGCCCCTCCCTTCCTTGCTCAAGCTCTGTCTCTCTCTCTTCTCTCTCAAAAATAAACATTAAAAAAGATTAATAAAAAAGATAAAGAGGAAATCTGAAATGATCTGACATGCATGGAGCCTTTAAATCAAGTTAGAAATTTAACTTTATCCTGTAGAAATTTAATTTTATCCTGTAGAAAATACATTCAAAAATTTTTTAAGTTTATTTATTTTGAGAGAGAGAGAAAGCATGAGTGGAGGAAGAGAGGAGAGAGGGAGAATCCCAAGCCGGCTCCGCACTGACAGCGCAGAGCCCGATGCGGAGCTTGACCCCACAAACCGTGAGATCCCGACCTGGGACAAAGTTGGACGCTCAACCGACTGAGCCACCCAGGCACCTCTAAATACTTCTAAATGGCATGATTTGGGAGTTGCCTCTGTGGAAACCACACCTGGTGTGTCACACAGGTTACTCACGACAGGCAGGTGTAAAACCGTCCCTGCCTCTGGCAACCCCGACAGGGAACACCACTAACCTACTAACTCTTTTTTGGTAAAATATCAGAACTTGAAAGAATGGGAAGCGGTGTGAGAAGAATTCTTTAAGTATAGTACTAAGCTATGAACTTTGAGAGAATATATGTCACATCAGCTTCTGGTTAATAGTTAACGTGTATCTGTAACTGTATATGAAATATATATCCAATGTATATGAAAACGCTTCAAGCCTGCGTAAGTAACCTTCCAGACGTGAGCCACGGAGCCTCCTTCAACGCACTGCCCATTACTCATAGGCACACGCTCGATTTTCCCGAACTCTAAACCTGAAGGCGGCCCTCAGCATAACAAAGTATCTAACAGTAGTAATTAAACATTTAGACTGAGTCACATCTCTTAAACTGAATTCTTATGTCATAAAATCAGCTAAACATCACATAAATAATGGTCAAGCACTATTCTAAGTGCTCCGTTTGCATTAATTCATTTACCCCTCACACAACACGGTGAGGTAGACCCCGGCGTCCCTAACATACAGACGAGGCAGCTGCAGCACAGAGAGGTTGAGTGACTTGGTCAAGGTCACACAGTCAGTAAGTGGCCCAGCCGGGATTCAGATCCAGGCCGTCTGAACCGGGGTCTGTCTGCACTCTTAGCCCTGGGCTCTCAGCTGGTGCCCGCCTGTAGCTCACAGCCCAGCCTTGCAGGACGCTCCTTGTGTTGGTCAGGTTCTCGGAAGAACCTCACAAAGTGAGTCAGTTCAAGTTTGAACTTGTTCACCCTGCCTTTTCAGGCCCCTGAACCTGAACCATGGTACTTGCCACGGTCGGCTTCACCCCAAGTTAGGCAACTTGGCCCAATGTGACGGTGCAGGCTGGAGGACCGGCACCCGGCTGACCCTGAGAGCCCTCGGAGTGTGCTAGTGTTTTCCCTGAATTGATATGCACACACAAATAGTGTTTACTATTTGTTCTGAAACAAAAGGAAATGGGCCTTTGGGATCTCACATTGTTCTTCAATTTCACACTCAGATACACACAATTCCTACTGCTGTTTTTTTTAAGTTTGTTTATTTTTAAGAGAGTGCGAGAGCACACGCAAGCAGGGGAAGGGCAAATAAGAGAGGGAGAGGCAATCCCAAGCGGGCTCCGTGCTAACCGACGCAGGGCTCGGATTCAAGAACCATGAGGTCGTGACCTGAGCCCAAGTCAAGGGTCAGACACTCAACGAACGAAGCCACGCAGGCTCCCCCAAGTTCCTACTTCGATTTTCAACTCTTGGTCACTGATTTTATTATAAACACCTTGCAAGCATTGTCCCACTTATGAATGTGTCCCCAATTATTTTCCAAAGGACACTCCAGCCAAAGCTTGTAAGAGCAACGAAATAAACAGGTTCGTATTTGCTCCTAATGCAAATAAGCGAGTAATTCCCCATTCATGACCACCTTTCAAAAGGACGCGTTGAGGCTGCTTTAGGGCGGGGTACCTGGAGCTGGAAGTAAAGTATGAGTCCTCACTGTCTTCACTGTACTTCTTTCTTGACTTTGCTATGATTGGCGTCTCTTGTTCAATGGTTTGCATATCGGAAGTCACGGAATGTGAAATACCACTGGGGGAAAACAGAATAAAACGGAGAGAAAGTCTATCAGTTCATGAAGACACTTGTGTTTGTGTTCACCATGGAACAAAGATTTTATACTCTCAACAAAAACAGCCATTAGTGGGGTTAAAACATGAGCAATAAACACAGCATGTATAGTTTTTGGCATAAGCACTGAAGAATACTGGGCCTTTGTGAGAACTGGAGCTAATTACACAAAATACAGTCACACGTATCAGTTCTGTGTGTAACTTGACAACGAGTCAGGCCTATTTCCTTTTGCTTTGACTCAACTTGGAATTTTTCATGCTAGGCTCCATACTAGAGTAGAGTAAAACAACGGAAGAAAGGAAGGAATCATGAGAAGATACTTTTCCAGCTGACATTAGTAAGGAAAATTCATTTGCGACAAGTGACGTTTAAATTCTGGAAGCCACATACCTCCTGCAGTTTCCAAACCCCATGCCGAGTCTCTCTGACTCTATCTTTTTTTGGCCACTCATGGTCGCCTTCTCGTTCTTCTTCATCTGAATTTCAAGATCCTTATAGGCTAATCGCAGGGATGAAACGCTGTCAGAAAACCAAATGCTCCTTAATTTAGCTTTAATGCTGTGCTCTCAAGTTAAACACTAAGCAAAATTAAACACGTCACTGATGATTTGAGCTTTGTGCTTCTTTCCATAATTAACAGTTATGAAGGCAAATTGGCTTTTTTTTCCCCCAAAGGTCTTTTTTGACTAGATGCTCAAGACAATTTAAATGAGTTTACATCCGCTTTTTGGTGCCGCTGACCCTACCTTACTGTTCTAGTTCATATCGCCTATCATCATATAATAATGGTTTATGCTACCTGCTACGTAATAATGTAACATATCCCAAAATTACGTCTAAATAAGATAGTAAAAAGCAGAATTTCTTAGTTGGACTAATATTCCATTTATACTTCCACATCGCATAGCAGAGGGATGAGGTTAGTCTCATTGGTTTGCACATATATTTGATTTTACAAATAGATAAATTAAGGGGTGCCTGGGTGGCTTAGTGGGTTAAGTGTCCAATTTCAGCTCAGGTCATGATCTCGTGGCTCCTGGGTTCAAACCCCTCATCGGGCTCTGAGCTGACAGTCTGGAGCCTGAAGCCTGCTTCAGATTCTGTCTCTCTCTTTCTCTGCCCCTCCCCTGCTTGTGTTCTGTCTCTCTCTCTCTCTCTCTCTCTCAAATATAAATAACCATTTAAAAAAAACCACAAATGGATAAATTAAGAAGGAGTTACTTAATTGCAAAAAGATCCTTCAAAAGATCGCTATACAATCAGGCTTCCAGAACACTCATTCCTCAGCCAATTTTCCCTCTGTGCTACTGGTCAGACACTCATCATCTGCTAATCAAGTGCCTGTTACAAATGATGTACCAAAGGGGTAAAAAGAGGTACACGACATTGTCCCTTACTCTCAGATCCCTAAAAATGTTATAAATACTTAATTTTTCACAAAGAAAACTATGCAATAACGAGGGTATTTTAGATTAGTAAGACAGCGACAAAACTTCGGGGCCTGAAAGGTGATGTACCCATGTTACCAGGAATTCTAAGCTACCATCCATTTCATAAAATTGTGTAAAATGTCATGAATTTCTCATAAGAAAGGCACCGTGTATATTCCATAACAATACAAATATATTTTCCTGCAGTAACAGGGAATGACAACTGAATTTCTTACTAGAAAAAAAGAGTAAATAGAATATGGGGGGTGGGGGACGCTGCTCCTGTTTCCTTCCTTAGTCAGGATTTGTTTTGTTTTAATCTGGTAGTTTTGTTTTCTTTACCATTATTCCCACAGCACAGGTTCTGACAAGGTCCCCAGTTTTATCGCTCAGAAAATAAATATGACGCTGGAGTATACTTTCTGGGGGACAACAGATCTGCTGAAAATCATGAACAGATAAAAGCGGAGCAACAGAGTCTTCTGGAGAAGATGGATGGCTGGGAAGAAAGTTCTAGTAGAAAGACGTGAGGTGGGAGAAGGTTCCTCCTTGGGACCCGCGCTGGGGACCAGGCTGTGACCGCTGGAACCACACGCTTTCCTGCGTGGCTCCCTGTAATGGGGGCTCATGGAACTGATGGAACTGAGGAGTCAGGGCTCCGTGCTTCTCGGAAGTGCAGGAGCCCTTCCCAGGAGCCCTTCCCAGGCCCGCTCAGGGGGAGGGCTCCCCAGCCGCTCAGACCAAGCAAGGGAAGGGGTTCGGGGGAAGGCTCTGTCTCTTCCTTATCTTCCCACGCACCGTGCGCAGACCCCCCTGGGGGGTGGGGGCGCAGGCACAGCCAGGAGGGGAGGGCCAGGCCGCTGCACGGACAGCCCGGGGCTCACAGGCTGACAACAGAGGAAAATACTGCTTCTTGAGTTAACTCCACGGAAAATAACTCTACTTACAGCCATTCAAAAATTAACTTGCAGAAAAATAACTTTGTTCCGTCTTTAGGATGAGACCTGTGTGTTTTCCCGGAGCTGGCGCAGCCCTGGTTTGGCGGGACGGGGCCGCGACGGGGCTCAGAGGGAGGACGGCGTCTTGGGCACAGGGGCGGGGATGCCCTGAACTTGGCCGAGGAGGCTGTCGAAGCAGGTTCCCAAATCAAGTTCATAAACACCCCAGGGCCCGCGTCTGTGCGTAAGTGCTGGACTGAGCCGTCCTGATGAAGGATGCAAGGTAAGGCTGGTGTTGCCTCTAACATTGATACGCTCGTCTCCATCCACCCCTGCAGACACGGAGCTGGTGCCTCGTGTTTCCTATCTTCTGTTCTGATCAGGCCCTAGCGCGCACCTGCTCCAGGAAAGCCACACGTGGCTGACAGGCACAGAGCCTGCTCCCGAACACCAAGGGAAGCAGTCTAAACCTTCCAGATCGGAACTCCTCCCCTCCCCATTTCCAAGGTCAAGGGCCTAGCTTAGAGAAATTACACTGGAGTCTGTGATGACAGCTCGAAGTCCATTTTACATAGAGCATTTCACATCGTATTTGGTCTAACTACAGTTTAGTGCTGCCCCCTATGTTCTAGGAGTTAGATGGCAACGAGAAACAACAGCTTCAGTTCTCTGGGCTTACCAACTAGAAAGCCCGTTGGCAAACTTTTGGCAGGAATAATAAGAAATCATACTGACTGAGCACTTACTCCACACCAGGCACTGTGTGATGCCCTTTGATGTCAACTAAGTTAACCCTCAAAGCATTAAGCCTCATACAATAAGCATTATTATTTTCTTCATCATTCAGTCCAGAGTAACTCAAGCCATGAGGAAATGCACGTGAAAGTAAAACACCACGTAAATAAAATAAACACACATAAGAACTAGGAACCTGCCTTTCCTTCTGATGTTGTGCTCACTCCGCTTTCTTCTCTCCTTATGATTTTTTTATACCCAGCACATGCACCTTCCAGAGGGCCATTCTGCTCCTCTGTTTCCAACACAAACAAAAACCTCTCAAGCCTACTTACAACTGGCGTCCTGGTTTCCAGTTTCCGCCACAGTCTGTGTGTCTGTCCTGATCTCCCCACCAAACTCACTTTCCAAAATACATCCCCTTCATCCAAACGAAGGGCCTGACTTCCAGGTACCCCACGTTATCATTCCAATTTCACCAATCCAGGCAATGCCTCGCCTCAGCACCAAAAAAAAAATGAAATGGCATTTTGAAGGCGAATCTCAAGAGTTGTTTAATAGTTTTGTTCACTAAAAATACACTATTACAACCAAATTAAACTTACATTGATTCTTCCTTAGGTGCCGCCCTGGCCAGAAGGTCTTCTTGTTCCTTCATTTTATCTACAGCTTGGGCTTGTTTCTCAATTTCATTAAAGCACGTATTCGTCAGTTTCTGGGCTCCCAAGCCTCCTTTTTTGGCCCCAAGCTAGAAGATACAGAAGATTAGATTCGACCCACGCTGTTTGAAAGCCCCGGCCAACGGCTAATGCTTACTGAGGTCTATTACCCGCCAGGCTCTACAACCTGCACTTCACATTCGCTCTCTCGCTCAGTCCTCGCCACCCTGTGGATTTGGCACCACTGTCATCCCCACGTCACAGCTGAGGAACTCAAGCTGGTGCAGGTTGACTGATTTGAGCGAGGTCACATAACCAGTAAGTGATGACGGCCATCGATTCAGACCCTGGTGACAGCACCCCTTATAGAAATGCAAACGTGACAGAGACCCCCACGGAGCCTCCCCTGATTTGTTTAGAATTCTGTCAGTAGCAAAAGAAATACTGTCGAAAGCTCATAACATTCGCCTCCTTAAACAAAGCATAGGTTCTTTATCAAAGCCGCAGTTATGGGGCACCTGGGTGGCTCTGTCAGTTAAGGATCTGATTCTTGACTTCATCTCAGGTCATGATCTCACAGGCCTGAGATCGAGCCCCTCGTTGGGCTCTGTGAGCCTGCTTGGGATTCTCTCTCTTCTTTTCCCTCTGCCCCTCCCTAGCTCGTGTGCATGCACTCTCTCTCTCTTAAAAAAAAAGCCACATTTATTATATACAATATGGCTCAAAATGTATTTTTAAAAAATGACAGGGGGCCCTGGTGGCTCAGTCGGTTAAGTGTCCAACTTCAGATCATGATCTCATGGTTCAAGAGTTGGATGGAGCTCCATGTCGGGCTCTGTGCTGATAGCTCAGAGCCTGGAGCCTGCTTCGGATTCTGTGTCTCACTCTCTCTCTGTCCCTCCCCTGCTCTTACTCTCTCTCTCAAAAATGGATAAACATTAAACAAAATTTTTTAAACGACAAAGGTGGCTTTCTTGAAAACATAAGCTATTTTATAGCCAAACTACCAGATATTTATATGCAATACTCACTCCTCGTTTAGCTTGATTTGGTTTCTTTTTTATGATAGAGGACACTTCTGTCAAAAAGTAAAAAGTAGAAAGTCAGACCAATAGAAATACATAATTTTTCTAATTTTAGTGTATCTTGAAAAAAGTTCTAAGATATTGTATGTATTATTTAAGAGACTATAACATTTTCTACATTAGTTGCTCACCCAGAAGACTCAAGCACACGAGCGTACTGTAGATTAAGAGAGTTTTGTTAAAATGGAGTTTCTCGGTATTTTCACGTAGTCTCTGAACTCACAGAAAACATTTTCTACATCTAAAGAGAAATAAAAGCCTGGCCTTGCCCACCCCACCCCACCCCACCCCATTCATTGCTATCTTTAGGGGTGTTTGTTATATATATATATTAGAACAAACTCTTCTTTTAAGCTCTGCTCTTCAGAAACTTTTAGAATTATTTTAAAATGCAAAGTTAGCCAGGCATTATGTACACAACGAAAGCTGTGATGTACTTTTTTTTTTTTTACCTTGACTTATATACAGATTTATCACATTAATCAATGGGAATTATAAAGCATTCCATTATTTTAGTAGCAGTACTTACTAAACTGCACAAAGACAGATGAGGCTTTAAGGTAAAGTTTCTTAAAAATTGTTTTCTGGGTAAACTTTAATCATAGATTATACATCCTGTTTCTAAAATTATGTTTAAGAGACCCAGTGAGAATAAAATGTTAACCGTTTCCTTACAAAGGTGAGAATGTGCTTTAATAAGAAAAGACAGCATAAACCCGCAAACAACTAAAGACTCAAATTTAGCCCTAACAAGAGCAGAACATCATTATGTTTCAAGTGTCAAAAAGAAATCTATGGGAGTTTTTCTTTCCATCACTTTCTCTTGGATCCGTGCTAAAGCAGTCACACAATCTGCTCCCAACCTCCTACGAGGCCATTAGCTCAGGATGAAAATATCCATAACATTTCTAATAGTTCAGCTATTTTTCCACCAAAGTACTTGCTTGCCAATTAATGCCATGTAATAGGCACTCATTTCAGAGTATAATTCCCTGATAATGAAAAATTAAAGATCATTGTCCAATCAGAGGGAACACATTAGGAGTTCTCGGGTTGAGGGGAATGGACGACGGGGCCACTCTGGCCTCTCTCATGCTGGGAACATAAGCTGCTTCAACACAAACAGGCAAACCAGCGGCTTCAGGGGCACCTGGGTGGCTTAGTCGGTTAAGCGTCTGACTTCGGCTCAGGTCATGATCTCATGGTTCGTGAGTTTGAGCCCTGCGTTGGGCTCTGTGCTGACAGCTCAGAGCCTGGAGCCTGTTTCAGATTCTGTGTCTCCCTCTCTCTCTCTCTGACCCTCCCCTGATCACGCTCTCTCTCTCTCTCTCTCTTTCTCAGAAATAAATAAAACATAAAAAAAAAAAAAATCAGTGGCTTCGGCAGCAAGTACAGCCAGGCACGGCGCACGGGCTGCTGCCACTCACGGCCTCAGGCCAGTGCTGAAGGGGACAGTGTTCTTTGCTCAATAAAATCTTATTAACAGATTAATAGTCACGATGACAGTTTACTCTACACATTCTAGGCAGAATGGAAAGACAGGACTCATTGTTTTTGTTTTAATGAATCTCACTCTCTGAACCAGAATATGGAGTTATAGGCATATTACCTAAAGCAGGCTTTGTGGGTGCGTTAAGGCCTTCCACACTTGGCCCTTGACCTTCCACACTTGGTCCTTGCTCTGGTCCACCTGAAAGGTAAATATATTGATATTAATGCAGCAAATATATTCATCAAATGTGCTTTTGAATATACGATACATTCAACTTGCTCAGTACCACGTATGTGACCCAATTTTGTCAATTACTGTTTTTCTTTTTAGCTCTGTATTCTATTCTATCATAACAAGAATTTTTAAAAATATTTGTTTATTTAGGGGCGCCTGGGTGGCTTAGTCGGTTAAGCGTCCGACTTTCACTTATGTCATGATCTCGCGGTTCGTGGGTTCGGGCCCCGTGTCGGGCTCTGTGCTGACTGCCAGCTCAGAGCCTGGAGCCTGTTTCAGTCTGTGACTCCCTCTCTCTCTGACCCTCCCCTGCTCACGCTGTTTCTCTCTCTCTCTCCTAGAAATAAATAAAAAATATTAAAAAAATATATTTGTTTATTTAGAGAGAATAAGAGCATGCACGCAAGAAAGTGGGAGAGGGGCCGAAAGAGCTGGAGAGAGAGAGAGTCCCAAGCAGACTCCACACTTTCAGTGCAGAGCCTGACTTGGGGCTTGAACTCACGATCCGTGAGATTGTGACCTGAGCTGAAACCAAGAGTCGACGCTTAACCCACTGAGCGACCCAAGTGTCGCATTACAAGAATTTTAAGTTAAAAGTCCATTGAAATAGAAGCGTATTTTTAAAAAGATTTTGTTTTTAAGTAATCTTTACCCCCAACATGAGGTTCGAACTCACAACCCCGAGATCAAGAGCTACGTGCTCTACTGACTGAACTAGCCGGGCACCCTGAAATAGAAGTGTATGTTTTATCCAGTTGCTTTAGAGGATAAAAATGTTAGTGGCCTCCCTGATTAATATCATTCAACATTATACCTTACTGTCTAGTGTTTTAAATTTTTTTTTAAATGTTTTTATTTATTTCTGAGGGAGAGTACGAGCAGGGGAGGGTCAGAGAGAGAAGGAGATACAGAATCCAATACAGGCTCTAGGCTCTGAGCTAGCTGTCAGTACAGAGCCCGATGCGGGGCTTGAACCCACGAACCGTGAGATCATGACCTGAGCCAAAATCGGATGCTTAGCCGACTGAGCCACCCAGGTGCCCCTACCTTACTGTCTACTGTTTTAAAATAAACTGCTCTGGGGTCCCTGGCTGGCTCCCTTGGGTAAGCGTCTGACTCTGGATTTTGGTTCAGGTCATGATCTCACTGTTCATGGGATCGAGCCCTGAGTCTAACTCTGTGCTGACAGCACGGAGCCTGCCTGGGATTCTGTCTCCCTCTGTCTCTGCCCCTCTCCTGCTTGGTTTCTCTATCTCTCAAAAATAAATAAATAAATTAAATAAATAAATAAATGTTTTAGTGGATAAACAAAATGCTATATATCCAGGCAATGGAATATTACTCGGCCATAAAAAGGAATGAGGAACTGACATCTGTCCAACACGGATGAACCGTGAAAACATTATGCTGAGCACAAGCTGGTCACACAAGACTACACGTCATGTGATTCCCCCGATTCGAAATGTCTAGAACAGGCAGCCCCACGGAGCCAGAAGCAGACTCGTGGTGGCCAGGGCCGGGCATCGGGGATGCCGGAACGGGGACCGTTAGTGGGTACAGGGCATCTCGGGGGCTGCAGGAAATGTTCTGACGTAAACAGTGGTGACGGCAGCACAACCTCGTGAATATACAAAAACCACGGAATTGAACAGTTTAAAAAAGGGCGAAGCTTGTGACGTGTGCATTTTAAGTCAATAAAGCTGTTATTTAAAACATGGCAGGCCCGACAGAGGTTTAAATGAAACTTGTCTGTCTTATTTTTATAAATATTTAAAAGGTAAACTCTGGTCATGGCATTTAAACAGGCAAAGCAGGAGGAGGAAGGGGACAGGGTGTTTAGTGGAAAAAAGAACTGACCACACACTTCCTGATGACCTCCCAGGGGCAGGGGCTGCCCAGCACTGGAGGGACGCAGGGGACAGGGACACTTAGGCAGAGGGTCTCGGGACCCACATTCCATTGGTCAGAATTGTTTTGTTCTCCCCTTCTGTTGTGTAATCCTGAACTTGACTCAAGGTGCACGCCGCCAGCCCGTGCAGACAGGCGAAGGAGGGCCAAGAGCGGGTGAGAACAGGGGAAGGGAAGATTCTGGGTGCAGGAGGCAGGATGACGTGTTGCTGCAAGGGGAGGTGGAATTCTTTTCTTTTTCTAAGTTTTTAAATTTATTTATGGGGGGAGGGGGAGAGAGAGAATCCCAAGCAGGCTCCACGCTGTCAGCACAGAGCCTGACGCAGGGCTCGAGCTCATGAACCCCGAGATCATGACCTGAGCGGAAATCAAGGGTCAGATGACGCTTAACTGATGGAGCCCCCCGGGCACCCCCAAGGGGAGGTGGGATTCTAAGCAACAAAATCTTTAGGACACACTCTTCAGCTAAGAGTAGGGTGTACGATATTTACAAGAACAAAATCTTGTTCGGCATCTAGTTATCTTAGTTTCCTGCTGGCAAATCAGACGGAGACACCTGGACTCCAAAGGTCACACCTCCCGTGCCCATAAGCTTCAACTTCCAAAGGCCTCTTATGCTAACTGGTTGTCATAGTAACAATATTCAAATCATCATCGGTACTTGCAGAAGCTACCACGCTGGCCTTGTGTCTGTTAGTCAGGAGAGCATCGGGATGATTTTGTCTCTTCTGTCCCTTTGGATAATGACACACCCATCAATGGCTCAGGTAGATTCTTTCTCTTAAAAAACAGTCTCCCCCACGGAGGAGCTCACGGCCTGGTGAAGGACACACGTGGACACAGTAACTCCCAGCACGAGGCCGTGCTGCGCTAAGAGAGACCACACACAGAAACGTGGTCGTGACTGGGAGTGTCCGTGGGGTGGACACGGCCTCTCTGGGGACAGGCCCTCGGGTAGAATCTCTAGGAAGAAGGCGGCAACATGGCAACCACAGGACAGAGTCCCACTGCCAGTGAAACAGAGCAAAGATAGGGAAGAGCCGCGGTCTTGGTCTAAGAAGTCAAAAAGCTAAGCGCCGCTGAGAAGGGTGTCTGTGTCTTCTTACCAGGCACTTAGGGTCACAGGCACAAAAAATGAGCCGTGCCAAAAGATCACAGGCTGCAAATCCTACAAGACCCAGCCACGCCAGTGTCCTTTGCATATTAAGGGAACAAGCTTTTTGTCTTTGTATGAATTGCAAATGTTTGTCACCTGTCTTTAAAGCATCTCTTCAGAACGGAAATGTTCTATTTGTAAGATTCATGAATCCCTTCCTTTCGCGATTCATGAATATGCATAGAAGGGCTTCCCTGGTCCAGGAGGATAAAAAAGCTTCACCCATTTTCTTGTAGCGCCTTCATATTTTCATGATTTATATTTAAATCTTTGACCCACCGGAATTTCGTTTGGTGTAAAGAGTAAAGAAGGAATTCTGCTTTATTTTAGTATTTTTTCCAAAATGCTTGGGGTGCCTGGGTGGCTCAATCAGTTAAGCGTCTCGCTTCGGCTCAGGTCATGATCTCATGATTTGTGGGTTCAAGCCTCGCATCAGGCTCTGTGTTGACAGCTTGGAGCCTGGAGCCTGCTTCCGATTCTGTGTCTCCCTCTCTCTCTGCTCCTAACCTCGCCCTCTCTCTCTCTCTCTCTCTCAAAATAACAAATAAACATTAATTTTTTTTCCAAAATGCTAGACACTTGTCTTCACTGTCCCCCAGAATGCAAAGGGCTCCCATCCTGGTTCGCTGACGGGTCTACATCTAAGACCCATAAAGACAAACAGGCGTCCTAAAATCTGTCGTTTGATGCAATCTCAGACACTCCCAGCCTTGCACCTACAATTCAATACAAATGAAGTGACTTTTCCTCAGAGCACACTCCCGACTCCACTCAGAGACCCGACTGGCCACTCTTCCAGGACTCTCTTCTCAATTAATACCAGTTACTCGCTCCAAACCTCCAGCAAAACCCTCGCCAGAAAGCTTCTCCAGTAAGAATCTCAGTCATAAAGCTGGTGAAGTGTTTGGTCTTTCCTATTTCACCAAGTTCCCTGAAGTTCCCCCAAAGTGGCTGCCGGCTCAGTATATACAAGCCAGCACCTCTGGCCACACTCCAGGGTTCCCGCATAGCTGTCAAATGTCACCTTGTTAATTTGCTCAAACTTTCTGCTTTCTGGCTAACAAATGATGCTCAATCTTTTTTTTTTAATTAAAAATTTTTAAAAATGTTTATTCATTTTTGAGAGAGAGAGAGAGAGGGAGAGAGAGAAAAAAAGAAAGAGCCAGCAGGGAAGGGGCAGAGAGAGGGATAGAATCCGAAGTGGGCTCCAGGCTCTGAGCTGTCAGCACAGAGCCCGACACGGGGCTCAAACCCACGAACCATGAGATCATGACCTGAGCTGAAGTCGGACGCTTAACTGATGGAGCCGCCCAGCCACTCCCACGATGCTCAATCTTAGAACAGAAAAGTTGATGTCTTGATCCTTGTTATTCCTATCACATAAGTGATTTTTTAAAATGTAAGCAACTGACATAAGTATATTTCCAACAAATATAATCCTATAATCAATTGTAAATCATTAGATATCAACTATTTGTAGAATCGGTTTTAAAACTGAAATCTTGTTTTCTAATTGTAGAAGTAACACATATACATTACAAAAGCGCAGTCACTTCACATCTGTATTAAGTTGAAAGTAATTCATTCCGTAATTTCATTCTCCGGTTAACAATTTAATATGTACCTTCTAGAATGTTTTCTGTGTGTATATGTTGTTTCAGTTTTTTACAAAAATGAGATAATTCCTGTTCGGTAATTTTTCCTCCACTATATAATCTACCATGGGTATCTTTCCTTCATTAAATACAAGGATCTTATTTTCTCTTTCCTTTTGTTTTAAGATTTTATTTTATTTTATTTTTAAAATTTTTAAAAATGTTTATTTATTTTTGAGAGTAAGACAGAGAGCAAGCAGGGGAGGGGCAGAGAAAGAGGGAGACACAGAATCTGAAGCAGGCTCCAGGCTCTGAACTGTTTAGCACAGAGCCCGATGTGGAACTCAAACTCACAAACTGTGAGATCATGACCTGAGCCAGAGTCAGACGCTCAGTTGGCTGAGCCACCCAGACGCCTCTAAAGATTTTATTTTTAACTAATCTCTACACCCAACGTGGGGCTTGAACTCACAACTCTGAGATCAAGAGTCACATGCTCCACTGACTGAGCCGGCCGGGTGACCCCTAAGGATCTTATTTTCTGACAATCTCGTAGCATGCCATTGAACCAGGGGACAGCATTACGTGACAGTTCTGAAAATTCTACCTTCATTATTAGCTGTAGTGGCCTCCACATTCCTTGATGGCAAAGCAGATGGTTCTGGTGGTGCTGAGGTCCACCCCGGGGCACTCCCCTGAAGGTGAGAACATTCATCAGTAAGCAAAGCGAGAAAAGTAAAAAAAAATCAAAGCCACTAATTTAATGGTCACCTTCTGAGTCACTGGATTAGCGGCAAGGGAAGATAATATTAAAACATGTCTATTCTTTTTCTTTGTTTTCTTGAAGTATAGTTAACATACAGTATTCTATTAGTTTCAGGTGTACAATATAAAGGTTCAATAACTCTACACCTTACTCAGAGCTCATCAAGGTGAGTGTGCTCTTTATCCCCTTTACCTAGTTTAAGCCTTCCACCAGCCCCCTCCCTTCTGACAACACCAGTCTGTTCTATTTAAGAGTCTATTTCTTTGTGCCTCTTTGGTTGGTTTCTTAAATTCCACATATGAGTGAAATTATATGGTATTTGTCTTTCTCTGATTTATTTCACTTAGCATTACAGCCGTTAGGTCCATCCATGTTGTTGTGAATGTCAAGATCTCATTCTTTCTCGTGGCTGAGTAATATTCCAGTGTGTGTGTGTGTGTGTGTGTGTGTGTGTGTGTGTGTGTGTCTTCTTTATCTATTCATCTCTGATGGACATTTGGCGTCCACAATTTGGCTGTTATAAATAAAGCTGCAATAAACAAGGGCATGTACCGCTTTGGATGAGTGTTTTCGTTTTCTTGGGTAAATACCCAGCAGTGGAATTACTGGATCATATGGTAATTCTATTTTGAATTTTTTGAGGAACTTCCATTCTGTTTCCCACAGTGGCTGCACCAATTTGCGTTCCCACCCACAGTACACGAGGGTTCCTTCTTCTTCACATCCTGTCCGACACTTGTTATTTCTTGTGATTTGATTTTAGCCATTCCGACAGGTGTAAGGTGATTGCTCACTGTGGTTTTGGTTTGCATCTCCCTGATGACGAGTGAGGTTGAGCATCTTTTCATGTGTCTGTTTGCCATCTGGATGTCTTCTTTGGGAAAATGTCTATTCAGGTCCTCTGCTCATTTTTAAATCAGATTATTTACTGATTTGGTGTTGAGTTGTATACGTTCTTTACGTAGTTTGGATATTAGCCCATTATCAGACGTATCATTTGCAAATATGTTCTCCCATTTGGTAGGTTGCCTTGTCGTTTTGTTGATGGTTTCCTTCACTGTGCAAAAGTTTTAATTTTGGTGTGATCCCAATAGTTTAATTTTCCTTCTGCTTCCCTCGCCTGAGGAGGCATAGCTAGAGAAAGATTTCCAGGGCTGATGTCACAGAAATGACTGCCTATGTTTTCTTTTGGAATTTAATAGTTTCAGGTCTTACATTTAGGTCTTTAATCTATTTTGAGTTGTTTCTCTTTGTGTAGGATGTAACAAAGTAGCCCAGTTTCATTCTTTTGCATGACGCTGTCCAGTTTTACCAACACCATTTGTTGAAGAGACTTTTTCCTCATTGTATATTCTTACCTCCTTTGTTGTAGATTAATTGGCCATGTAAGTGTGGGGCTATTTCTGGGCTCTATTCTTTCCATTGAACTGTGTGTCTCTTTTTGTGCCAGTATCATACTGTTTTGATTACTACAGCTTTGTAGTATATCTCGAAATCTCAGATTGTGATGCCTCCAGCTCTGTTTTTCTTTGTCAAATTACTTTGGCTATTCAGGGTCTTTTGTGGGTCCACACAGATTTCAGAATTATTTGTTTCAGTTCCTTGAAAAATGGTGTTGGAAACATGTATATTCTTAAATCTCTGTTTTAATGCTCAAATTCCTTCTTTTCTCCCCATAAAATTTTTATTTTGCAATAACTTCAGACTTGCAAAAAAGTTGCAAAGATACGCTTCACCCACCTTCCTCTGATGGTAAACCAGCCACGGCACATCTGTCAAAACCAAGAATTATCATCGATGTATCACTGATTTAGCCGCCATTATGTGCTAAACTCCAGACTTTATTCAGATTCACTGCTTGTCCACTCCTGTCCCTTCTGTTCCAGACTCTGTTCCAGCCTGCATCTACTCTGTTCCAGGGTAGTGTTGTCTCATGTTTAGCCTCAGTTTTGGGGAAGGATGCTGCAGAGGTGAGGTACCCTTGTCACTGCCGCACGTTGGCTTCACTGAATACGGGCGATGCTGACCTTGATCCCTTGGTTAAGGTGCTGACTGCCAGGCTTTCCTCTGATAAAGTCACTGTTTTCCCCTTCCATTCCATAGCTTTGGGAGCAAGTCACCAAGTCTGGCCTGCACTCAAGGGGGGAGGGGGGAAGGGCCATCTCCTCAAGGGCAGACTATCTATAGACATGACTGAATTTTTCTTGAAGGAAAATCATCCCTTCGCTCCATTTATTTATCCAATCATCTCTTCACATTAGTGTGGACTCATGGATGTTTATTTTTTTCTTCGGATTATAATCCAAACTGTCATTATTTATTTTGCTGCTCGAATTATTCCAGCTTTGACCATTGGGAGCTCTTTCCGGTTGGTTCCTGAGTCCTTTAGACACGGCCTCCCCCCCACCCCCCGCCCCGCCCCGTTCCTCCCAGCACTTGCTTACTTTCTGACACCACAGGACGCTCCAGGCTTAGCGGCCCCAGCACCCCAGGCCTCGAATCTGCCGCTTTTCCGAAGATAGCACTGGCTCCCCTTGGCATTCAGAAGCCAAGATGGGGGGTGCTGGGTGTGCCTGGGTACCGAAGCGTCCCTGTCTCTGGGCCTCTTGGAGGACAGAGGCGGGCAACATAAGTGTGTGTGTGACCCCTGTGTACACATGCATCTGTCGTCGCGCTCTCCCGTGTGTGCGTGTGTGTGAGTGTGCACAGACACATGCTGAAATAGTGAGTTCACGTGAATCCGAGTCCCACCCTAATTCCTACACTAGTCACCAAACTGTTCCTCTGTCCCCTCCTCCTAGCCTGTGGTTTCTGTCCCTCACACGTCTCGACTACTAGTCACGGATGTTCTAGATCTTGTTCTACACTAAACGAGAGGCGCCGATCATGACAGAAGGCCTTTTCCTTTGTTTTCTGTTCTCTTCTTTTTTGATAACTATTTCTGGTAACTATTGACTATGTCAATGAACTGTTCACCATGTGAATGGAAGCGTATGTGCACATTGTAAAAACAAAACAAATCAAGGCTTAGCAATTTATAAAGCTTTCCCCACTTTCACTTGAAAGTTGGTTACAGAACGGGTTAAGCAGAATTAAGCAAAGAATGTTCCCCCCCCCCCCCCATGGGACTGGGCAGAGGCAGGGTGGCGAACAGACCTCTGAGCTGTAAGCCAGGGGCCACACACGTTTCCTTAAAAGAGCGCTCAGGAAATATGTTAGGCGTTGGAGCCCTCACGATCCCTGCCTGGAGAGATCTGGGGGTTGTTACTGCTTCCCTGATCGGACCATAATAATCAGGGCATGATTCCGACAGCACTGCCTGAAGGCTCTCTCTGGAGGGAGGCAGCTTCCGACTTCTTGAGTCTGTACTGACTTCATTCTTACAGTAGCCTTGAGATGTGCTCTCTGGACGCAACTAATCAGGGGCAATGAGATTCAAACTCCTATAAAATCTGGGTTAAAAAAAAGAAAACTGTTTTCATTCTTGGTCGGTTCCATAGCCGTGACCACTACCAGTAACCATGGCTCGGCCTCCGTGGCGGCTGCGTACGGACCGGTGACTAAATGCTGGCCACAAAGATGTGAGCAGAGGTAATGCGCGCTCCCTCTAGATTGCTCTAGTAAAAGGATGGGGCCCACGCTTTCCCAGATGTCCACCCCCTTCCCATGGCTGCGGAAGGTCGTGAGCTGCATGGACATTTCTGACTGTGAGATGGAAGCCAGTATGTGGGGAAGAGCAAAATACCTCCCTCGGTCAGCCCTGGACAGCTGACTTCCAGGCTGCTGCTGGGAATTCACTCTACCTTGTGTAGGTGACTTATTTCAGGGTTGTTAATACGGCAGCTTAGCCTGGATCCTGACTGAAACATTTAAATATATGCCCTTTATAACTGTCAGAGGAAGCACACTTTAAAATTATATAAAGCAGGGGCGCCTGGGTGGCTCAGTCGGTTAGGTGTCCGACTTCAGCTCAGGTCATGACCTCGCAGGTCGTGGGTTCGAACCCCAAGAATCTGGAGCCTGTTTCAGATTCTGTGTCTCCCTCTCTCTCTGACCCTTCCCTGCTCACCCTGTCTTTCTCTCTCTCTTTCTCTCTCTCTCAGAAATAAACATTAAAAATAAATAAATAAAATAAAATAAAATTATATAAAGCATAATACGTACCTCGGGAGAAGCATGAGAGGCAAAGAAATCTTCCTCTTTTGGTGGAGAGGACAAAGGCGGAGCCGCACAGCTATCAAGCCACAGCTAGAACGGAAACATAAAGTGCGTGCTGAGCCCTTCTCCTGCTTTAAAGGTTTTTTTTACTACTCTCGCTCCCTTTCTAGAGGCCTGTTTGCCAAAGCTTGGTGCTTTCTGTTACTATACAATCAGTAACAGGCCGACACAGGGCCCCGGAGCGCATTTTAGTTATGGATTAATCCACTAACTTCTGCTTCCAAGCCTTGAGGATGTCGAGTACCAGATTCACAAGCTATTTCTGAAAAGGAAAGATGGAGGCCTTACTATCTTAGTGCAGGCTCCAGAGTACAGTCCGTCCTCACTATTAGTGCATTCCGGACTTGCAAATTCACACCTGCCACAACTTACTTGCAACCCCAAATCAGCACTTGAGACGTCCCTCACGGACATGTGCGGATCAGTAAAGAATGACCCCAAGGTGTGTGTTCCCAGTTGAGGTCGAACAAGGTGACACTCTATCTCCTCGTTTCAGCTCTCAAGCTGTAACTAAGTGTCCTTTTTTTGTGGTCTATTTAGTGACACACTTTTCATATTGTGCTTTGTTGGTGATTTCATTGGTCCGCAGGCCTAGTGCTGAAGTCCTGCCTCGTGTCCCTAAGCACAGGAAGGCTGTGATGGGCCTTACAGAGAAAACCCAGTGTTAGGTAAGCTTCACTCGGGCAGGGGTTACAGTGCAGCGGACAGTGAGTTCAATGTTAATGAGTCAATAATTACCTATCAATGATATAAGTTATATATTAACTATTACTATATCAACATACTATTAAGTCTTATATATTTAAGTGCATATTAATAATATATTCAGTCTGGCTGGCTCAGTCGCTTAAGTGTCTTACTCTTGACTTTGGTTCAGGTCATGATCTCATGGTTCGTGGGTTCGAGCCCCATGTCAAGCTTGGGCTAATAGCACAGAAACTGCTTCGGATACTCTCTCCCTCTGCCCCTCCCACTCTCTCTCTCTCTCTCTCAAAATAAGTAAAGTTAAAATTTTTGAAATTTAAAAAGTTAATAATATATTCAATAAGGTGGCCTTAAATAGAAGCACATGTAAAATAAGGTTATGTATTGATCAGCTGATGGGAATGTTATGACCAGAAGCACGTACGAACCTAGCCCTCTGTCTCCCCAAGGAGTGATGTTTCTGCATTTGCTAATTCTGTGCATCACTTCCATGAACCTCAAAAATCAACCATACAAGGTTTCCTTGCAAGAGAATCCAGCTAGAAGGCTTTACTGTTTGGGACAGTTAACACCACTTAAAAAAAATTTTTTTTTTACTGTTTTTATTTATTTACGAGAGAGGGAGAGAGAGAGAGAGACAGTGTATGAATGGGGGAGGGGCAGAGAGAGAAGGAGACAGAATCTGAAGCAGGCTCTCCAGGCTCTGAGCTGTCAGCACAGAGCCCGACACGGGGCTCGAGCCCACGCACCGTGAGATCATGACCTAAGCCGAAGTCGGACGCTCAACTGACTGAGCCCCCAGGCGCCCCCAAAATCACTTTTTCTACCGAAATGGATGTTCACCTGCTGGAGGTAGTCCAACCCGCCATGACTTACATCAGTGCCGTGCTTCCGTGTCGCCTGGGAGGCCAGCGACTTGATTCTCTCCCGATAGAGCTGAGCCGCGCGACTGTTGTACTTGGCATTGGTGTCATTGGTGGTACAGCCATGTTGATGGAAAAAGGAAGACTACAGAGGAAAACGCATGAATTAATGGCAATGCGGCATTAAATCCCACCTGCGACCGAAAACAGTGCTTCATGTTACGAAGGATTTTTTGGAAAATACTAGTGAAAACAAAAGTAATGAAACCATGTAATTCACAAAAACAATTTGAACTACATAATTTGAAGTAAACTTTTCCTTGTAAAAGGGAATGCTTTGCACACATTCAACATTAGTATTTTGGTTTAAATGGACAGGAGACTCACATTACAAAATGAAATGGCTGGCCCTTCATTTCTCCATCGAACCCCTTTGGTCATTTTGAATTATTCTGTTATTTTGGGGGACACTTTCCACTCCGGACTACTTTTAGCTCATGAGAAATTCATTTCCGTTTGAATTCCACTAACTTGGAGTTCCTGACAAATTGGTTAGAGGCCATGCTCACCACCACCTTGTCCAGCTCTATTTCTTCATGAACAGAATCCACAGCATAAGCACAGAGATAAAACAGATGTTTCAACAGTTCGAGGGAACTGTTTTCAACCTCCTTGTACGGGTCAGAATTCACATCTAATTAAAGTAGGTATTCTAAAAACCTGTATGAGCCATCCTCATATTGACCCAAGTGGATTAATCAGATATACTGATTGTTTAAATGAAGTTTAACATATTTAAGGATCCTCATTTAGGTTTATAAGGGGGAGGGTTGAAGAGACCTGCTCTTTTATTTTATTTTTAAATTTTTTTATTTCTTTATTTTATTTTGAGAGACAGAGAGCGAGCAGGGGAGGGGCAGAGAGAGAGGGAAACACAGAATCCAAAGCAGGCTCCAGGCTCTGAGCTGTCAGCACAGAGCCCGACGCGGGGCTCAAACTCACGGATATGAGATCATGACCTGATCCAAAGTCAGATGCTTAACCAATGGAGCCACCCAGGCACCCCGAGACCTGCTCTTTTAAAACTATAAGTTGATCGGACACTTACAAAGTTATGTTTTACTCAGAAGCTACTAAGAAAGGGGATCTCATGTGTCTTGTGCATCTCTGTATCCCAGTACCTGGGCCAGAGCTGTGTGTTTACTAGGCAGCTGACAGATTTGGGGATAAACACGTCCCCCGGGCCATCCCCTCCCACGCCCGTCACTGGGGCCCCAAACTCTCCCATGCAGGTACCAACTGCCTTCCCGGTGTAACGCGCACTTACAGCAAGAAGGAAGACAGCGAGTGTGAGACGAACTTACCGCATTAGCGTTTCCTCCAACCTGCATGCACCGCAGCTGAAACCAAGACCAGTTCGAATCCAGCTCGGTGGATCTAAACGGAAAGAATGTTCTCAAATGTGAACACGGTCTGCCCCCAGAAGGAAGCCGCCAAGCTTCTGGAAACAAGAGTCCCCTTGATTTTCTGGACCCTGAAGACCTGCAGGTCTGGGTAAACGGTGACCGGGGGGATGCTGGGCCTGCAAAGCGTGTGACAGTTATGCAAACAGCTCCTGCCCCCCCACCCCCACCCCCCACCCCGCAGGCCGCCTGGGCCAGCAGCACTCAGCCAGCCGCACTGACTCCAGCCAGCCCCCCTTCTGGGATGCGGGGACAAGACGAGCTTCCTGGGCTGTCGGAACAATCGAGGCTGGTTGCCTCTCACTCTCAGCGGCTTGTGATCCAAAAACTCGTAACGCGTCCCTGCTCAGAACAGATGTACTCTTCCGATGGCCTCAGATCGACTACCCATTTGTCCAGTTCGACCTCTCACAGGGGCCTCGGGGAGGCTCACGGTCTCATCATCAGGCGGAAGGGAGCCGAGCAACGTCACCGCCATCAGGGAGGAGAGAAAACTCAGGACTCCGTGCTCCTGACCCGGAGGCTGGAAGGGCCCTCTCCCCTACCACACCTCACGCTCTACTCTCTGCAACCTGAGACCACATCCAGGCAGGGAAAAGGCAGTAAGCATATTTCCCAGCAGTAAAAATTCGCCAAGTGATCACTGTGAAGCAAGATATGATAGTCCAGCAACGTTAGAAGTCTTCACGTTAAATCCACAGGTATGAGCAGCAAGCAAGGCTGTCGCACGTGCAAGGACAGCTTGTCCCCCACTAACTGGAAAGGAATGTGGACATATTTAAATGGGTGCAGGTAGAGCACCTGTAAAAATAGGAAGGTAAAAAGAAAAGACACTTCTTTTGCTTTTATACTGCCCTTCCACTCGCGAATTACTATGCCCATTTGCATTGCTTATTAGCCTTTGTAAATGTTAGTGTTATTTCGAAGCCAATGGCTACCTTAAAATTAATAATCATACGAATACCTAGTATTACTTGCACATGTGACAAATCTACTTGATGGCAATACGTAAAAAGTAAAATATAATCTATCCTTTATAAGCAACAGATTTCCCAAGGAGAAAAATAAAACTTCTAGAATCTGATGACCAAGCGATGTGACTAAATTATATATCTTATTCCAAAATCCTTCTTCTGATAGATCTTAGTCACATGTCCAGGACTCTCGGTCAGAGGGAGTCAGGTACCATTCCCATCCCACGCTGTCAGAGGGTGGCTGTTAACAGCACAGCCTCTGGAGACAGACCGAGACAGGACAAACCTCAACTCTGCCATGGCTTACTGGGTGACTTCGGAGAAGTTACTTAACTTCTCTGTGCCTACTTTCCTCATGTGCAAAGCAGTGATAATTACAGCATTACCGATTTCATTCTTGTAGAAATCAAACAAGCTAATATCTGGAAAGTGCCTGGCTCACGGTAAATCCCATATGGTTAAAATCCTCACCATGACCATGACCATGACCACGTCAAACCCTGTCACACTATGTCAGGTCAGAAGCACAAGCTCCCGAGGACAGGAATGTCCCACATTTTTCTGCCACACTCCTACCATCGGCACATAACAGGCACCTGAATTTGGGCTGACTTAATTATGTCCTAAAACTGAGGCTGCAAGTACTCGGATCTGCTAACCAGCCTCAACTTTTGGTCTTAAACTATCTTAAAAAAAAAAAAAAAAAAAAAAAAGCTAGGGGCGCCTGGATGGTTCAGTTCTTTAAGTGTCCAACTTCTGCTCAGGTCATGATCTCATGGTTTGGTTCATGAGTTCGAGCCCCACATTAGGCTCTGTGCTGACAGCATAGAGCCCACTTCAGATCCTCTGTCTCCCTCTCTCTCGGCCTCTCCCTGGCTCATGCTCGTGCTCACTCTCTCTCAAAAATAGACATTTAAAAAAATTCCAGAGAAGGACAGATACCATATGTTTGCACGTATAGGTGGATTAGGAGGAACTTAACAGAAGACCATGGAGGAGAAGAAGGAGAAAAATAGTTGGGGAGAGGGAGGGAGGCAAACCATGAGAGACTCTTGAATGTTAAGAACAAACTAAAGACTGACGGGGGGTGGGGGGGAAGGGAAGGGGGAGATGGGCATGGAGGAGGGCACTTGTGGGGATGAGCACTGGGTGTTATAGGGAAACCAACCTGACAATAAATTATGGAAGAAAAAAAATTCCAAATATTACTCCATATATTCCTTAGAAACGGAGATTAAAACAAATTGTTCCTGAACTGGGTTACCGGGGACTCTCTCTCATAACACTGGAATTTTGAAATAAAGCGTTTTAATGATAGTGGACTCTGAAACGAATCAACCTTCAGAGGAAACCTAATTGCTCATTAAGTGCCCATTCCCACAGGAGGAGGTGACTCACTGTTGGTGATTTCTTCCCTCTAATGTAGATGGGGAGATGTGAAAGGGGATTGTTTGGGACAGAGCTGAGAAGCAAGTGAAGCAGAGGCAGTAAGCAAAGGTGAAGAATTAGTGTCACTTTAACAAAGCGGCTCCTGTTAACAACCACGTCAAGGAGAACACAGGCTTCCAGGAACCCCTGTGATCCTTACGTGAGTCCAGGAATAATCTCCCTAAAAACTGCATGAAGGGGCGCCTGGGGGACTCAGTCGGTTAAGCATCCGACTTCGGCTCAGGTCATGATCTCACTGTTCGTGGGTTCGAGCCCTGCGTTGGACTTTGTGCTGACAGCTTGGAGCCTGGAGCCTGCCTCAGATTCTGTGTTTCCCTCTCTCTTTCTCTCTCTCCACCCCTCCCCCACTCACACTCTGTGTCTGTCTCAGAAATAAATATATATTTTTTAATTTTTTTAACGCTTATTTATTTTTGAAATAGAGAGAGAGAGAGAGAGAGAGAGAGAGCATGAAGTGGGGAGCGGCAGAGAGAGAGGGAGACACAGAATCTGAAACAGGCTCCAGGCTCTGAGCTGTCAGCACAGAGCCTGATGTGGGGCTCAAACCCACGGACTGCGAGATCATGAGCCAAAGTCGGACGCTTAACCGACTGAGCCACCTAGGCACCCCAATAAGTATTTTTAAAAAAATGCATGAATTAGCCTCACTAGTGGCTGCCAGGGTTCACAAGCAGCACATTTAGATAGATTTTAGAAATCAGAAGGAATCTCCCAAATAAATATGACAAAGTTAGCTTGTCATCAAAAATCTGAAATGGCATCTCCTCCACTGGCGCCGGTAATCTAGGCTTTTGTTCACAGACAAGCCCGGGAATAGCTTCCAGGGAGCCGCCCGTCCGTAACTGGCTCGGCTGCTTAACACAAGACCGCGCAAGGCGTTGCCTCCCTGCACCAACATCACAAACGGTCCTCCTCTGGCATCCGCTGGCAGGGCCCCGGATGACTCAGCCCCGAGCGCGGGCAGCATCTGCCGGGGACCCAGGATGTGCCAGGCTCTCTGTGGGTTCACCGCTTTCTCCTCCCGAAGCCGCTTCAGTGACTACCTGGCTTCTCATCCCCAAGGTCAAGGGAAGGAAACAGAGACACAGAGAGGGAGGGAGCACACCCAGAGGTGGTCAGGGTGGCGCTGGGCCTCAGCCCCCAGCAGCCAGACGCCATGCCCATTCTCCTCGCACCCCTGCCCCGCCTGGCCGATGTCTGTGGGTGCCTTCTGCCCCCCGGGCCCAGGTCGGCCTGCCAGGGTTCGCCCCTCAAGGCCTCAGCAGTTAAGTACAGGCTCTGGCCTGGCAGTCAAGACCCTCCACAGTGTCCCCCAGATCTTCCCCTGGGAACCCTCTTTCCCTTCATTCTCCTATGCATGTACCGATTAGCTCCTCGGGGCGCCGGGGGGGGGGCTCCGTCAAATGTCCGACTCTTGGTTTCAGCTCAGGTCATGATCTCCAGGTTCGGGAGTTCAAGCCCTGCATCAGGCTCTGGGCTGACAACAGGCTCTGAGCCTGCTTGGGATTCTCTCTCTCCCTCTCTCTCTCTCTCTCAAAATAAATAAACTTAAAAAAAAAAAGTAGCTACTAAACATTTCACTTTTTCCAGCCTCTATATTTTCTTTCTTTCTTTTGAGGGAGAGAGAGAATGCACATGTGCGTAAGCCGAGGAGGGGCAGAGAAAGAGAGAGAGGAAGAGACAGAATCCAAGCAGGGACACTGGGCTCGATCTCATAACCCTGAGATCAGGACCTGAGCCGAAATCAAAAGTCAGATGCTCAACCAGCTGAGCCACCCAGGCGCCCCGTACCTTTTCTCAAAGCCAGAGTGCTGACCTCCTCTCCCCTGCCTTGTTACCATGACCAAAGTCTCACCAAAACTCCGAAGTGCATTGCAAATGTTACCGCCTCCTTTAAACGTGGACTGATTTTCCCATGGAAGTAGACGCAGTGAGGTGTCCGTGTCCCGCATGGCATTTTACAGTCTGTCTTATTATTCATGCTGTGTCCCTACCGTCCTACTAGATTCCACCCACCTTTCAGAAGCTCATGACATACTTAACGGTGAACTTGAGAAGAAACCGAGACGGAGGGAGAGGAGCACAGGGAGGTGCAGCTGCCCCAGGAGCCGAGGCGCAGAGTTCAAGCCCCGGAGGCGGTAGGCGGGGGCCAGTGCAGTTACGTCCACTCTGCAGTCAGCTCCAAGGCCATTTCCGTGGGTGCCTAACCCGCATTTCCCTTTTTGGTTGGCAAAAGTTCATACATTTTTTTCCTTTGTAAAATTGTTGACTTGAAATTCTACTTTCAAAAAACAACAATAACAACAACACAAAAACCTCCTTTTAAATAAACATTCCACCCATGCTAAGCTGTTCATCTGTTCATGCCCAGGAGGCGGGACTGTGAGTGAGAGAGAGAGAGAGAGTGTGTGTGTGTGTGTGTGTGTGTGTGTGTGTCTGTATGTGTCTGGCAGGGGTGAGGGGGAAGAGGGGCAAGGGATTCTAGAGGAAGGGCTTCTCATTTCTTACTTTATAAACTTTGGAACTGCTTGGTTTTTTTTCCCTCCTAATGACCTAGTGTTTGTCGTTTCTTTTCACCAATAAAGCATGTTTAAAGAGCAGGCCTCTGCCTCTTAAAAACAAAATCCCTCCTGAGCCTGCTCATCGTCCTTACTTCTTCCTGCCCAGTTCCTGGACTGCTGCCCTCCGGTTACACAGGAGTTGTTAGCAGTTGCTTATGAATCATTGATAAACATCATGATTCGGAGTTCTATTTATCTGACTTTTAAAAGGCTAGTCATTAAACCTGCAGCAGCCCAAACGGACCTGCTGTCCAGCCTCATCATGCTCTCCGGGAGTGCTCCCTTCACCCAGTCAGCCCTCCCCTCGCCCGGGGCCCCGTCAGAAAACCGCGCGACTTCCTGGAATGGTTTAAACTGGAGGGTGCTTTGCCGGAGAGGCGAAGGGGGGGCCAGGTCACAACAGGCGGGACTTGGCACAGAGGAAGGGGGACAGATCACAGTGAAGACAGAAAGGAAGACGACCAATTGGAAACTGCCTCGAGCCCATGGGCTGTGGGCAGAGCCGGTCACCTTATGGTAACCGGTAACAACCAGTCCGGGGGGTGGGGGGGAGGGAAGCACATTAGAAAGAAACTTGGCCTTGGCAAGCAAGTCCCTCAACATTTAAAGAAAGAGACAAGAACAGGATGGTGTGTTCAAAATATTCTGGGACCAGCGTTTAGGAAAAAAAAAGACAAGAGATGGCTAGATACTCGGAAACCAGGAAGAACACAAAAGAACTCCCTTTTCTAAGTCATCACCTATGGAATTACGTGCCTATAAACATCCAGCCCATCATGCCTCTACAAACCGACTTCCGAAAAAAAGAACTCACGAAAGTGCACCAGGAAAGTTTTTTTTAAGTGAGCATATTTTTAAAAGAAAATTATGTTATTATTTTTACTGTATAGCTTTTGTGTCATCATATGAAATGTCTCGTTACAAATTATAAGTGATTTTATCTTATAGGAACGAATACTCTTCCCAGTAATCATATTATGTCGATATTCCTCAAGTCATAATAGAAAATAAAAGCACTAGCCACAATTCCAAATAGCCTGCCTGCCTAGTTGGGTCCTTCCCTGGAAAAAAGAGGTGGCAGGGGAATCAGAGAACTGGCTGGAGAGGGCCAGCAGTGACAGAGGTCTGAGCCACGGTGTCCAAGGGGGGCCACACACGAAAGCCCCACCCACGCTACAACCAGACTGTCTGGGGCAGGAGATGCGTTCGCCCCGCCACCCTGGAAGGGAGCCCGAGTCTGCAGGTAAAAAAAAAAAGACTTTTTCTTCACAAGCATTTGAAATTACCATTCAAATTCCCACCGCGATCATTCACTCGGGCGTCGTGCGGGCAGCAGCCCCGGGAGCCAGAGCTGTAAAGCCTGTGCCATCACGAGGCTTCTCGCCCTTTCCGTCAGCTCTCCTGCCAGCGGGCCCACAGCACTTGTCCCCTGCCACCGCGAGTGGGGACACAGTGGCGCTCCGCCGCGCTGCTGGTTATTAGAAGGTGATGAAGGGAAGGGAGTGGAGTCTCAAGTCCTCCATTCGGACTCCACCTGCAAGACCCTGGCCTCAGATGTCTGACGCAGAGTCCACGGAGCAGTAACGGAACAGAAAAGAAGTCATGTTCCCAGTTTACCTAATTATAAAGATCTCGACCTCCACAGCTCCTCGCCAGCCTCTCATTCTACCTGGCGGCAAAGCAAACGTGAAGCAGAAAGGTGGAGAAGAACCATGCTCGCCCGCGATGAAAACCGATCTGCTCACCTGATGAAGCTCAAGTGGACCCCCAGTGACCGGTGTGACCCCGAGCAGTCGATGCAAAGGAACACGCCGTAGGTGATACTTGCCCAGCTGGGGTTCTTGGCCCCGCAGTCAAAACACACCTGAAAGACAATTTCAGAACCAGGTGATCGTTACTTCCCAGCAGCCGCATGAGCTCTCGTACAGGAAGCAGGACGCAATTGAGCGTGACGGCGGCCTGACCTTCACAATTCGAAACTGGTTACTACAAAACAGCTCACCTTATTTATTATTTTTTTAAAAACCTCAACTCTCGGGGCACCCGGGTAGCTCAGTCGGTGAAGCGTCCAACTCTTGGTTTCGGCTCAGGTCACGATCTCATGGTTTCGTGAGTTCGAGCCTCGAGTCGGGCTCTGTGCTGGCAGCGAGGAATCTGCTTGGGATTCTCTCTCTCCCTCTCTCTGCCCCTCCCCCACTCATGCCGTCTCTGTCTCTCTCAAAATAAATTAATAAACCTCAACTTTCAACTTCTTTGATTATTATTACATTGCAGATAATTACATATTAATTAAGCATCAGCAGGGCTCCTACCAGCCACGTGAATGAGCACTAACTAGGGACGTCCCCTGCTGGGGATGCTCGTGGCCTCGTGGCCTCGTGGCCTTCCAGCAGGCTGAGCACCCCACGACTGAGCGCAAGGCCGCACCCCAGGCTGCAGAGATGACAGCCCCAGCGCAGACAGCCTGACGGCCCCTCATGAGAGACCCAGGGCCTCTCTCAATGCTGACTGAGACCAAATAGTCTTCATCTGATAGCGTCTGGCAAAAGGAGCACAAAAACGACTTTAAAATATACAGAGTTTGTCATGGAAATTAATATGTATAATTAAAGTCAGAACAACAGAATGGCAAAAAATTCCACTCATAAGAGGACACTTTTTTTCCCCCAGGCAAAGAGCCCCATATTTTAAATACACTTGATAGACAGAGACACCTATGTGAAGTTTGCCCCAACTAGAGGCATCAAGAAAGATCGGGCGCTTGGGGCACCTGGGTGGCTCAGTCGGTTAAGCATCCGACTTTGGCTCAGGTCATGATCTCGTGGTTCCTGAGTTGAAGCCCCGCGTCGGGCTCTGTGCTGACAGTGCAGAGCCTGGAGCCTGCTTTGGATTCTGTGTCTCCCCCTTTCTGTATCCCTCCCCCATTCACATTCTGTCTGTCTCTCTCTCAAAAATAAACATTAAAAATTTTTTTAAAAAAAGAAAGAAAGAAAGAAAGATCTGGCTTTTGGCCTTGCGGAGGTAACACGAGAGCAAAAACACGAGTAGATTTCCCAAGGCCCTTCAGCACGACAGGCTCACGTGACATATGTGTGAACACTGGGGCTAGAGCAACAACCAGCGTGGAAGGCGCCCGTCCACTCCCATCGGTGTTTACTGGGCGCCTGCTGTGTGTCGGACTCCGTGGCGGGCACAGAGGTGTCCTCAGAAATAGCGGGTGTCACGGACTCCATGAACACCTGGCTGGGTCCCTGCCCCCTGCAGGCCACGTGCTGGTCTTTCTGGAGCTCGCGGCGCAGTGGGAGGGTAGGATCCAGAAATTAAGATGCCCTGTGGGCACAGCCAGCAGAGTAAGGAATCCCCTTCCACAGGACACCAAACGGTGTGACCGGCTCTGCCAACGGTGCTGGCCCTCTGCCAGAGGCCGCCTGTGGTCCCCCACTTTCTCACCCAATAGCTGTGCTCTTGCTACCAAGCAAGGACGGGGCACACAGTCCAGCAGGCAAGACCAGTAGTTACGGTGCAATCTTAGTAAGCGAGGACGGGATGGAAACAGTGTTCCAGACGGGGTCCAGGAGGAAGCTCAAGGACAGAATCTTAGAGTAAGCGGCACAAGCCTGCATAGGAGATGGCCCTGTGGTGGCGGAGAGGTGCGTACCCCTGAAAACACGCAAGATGGAGAATCCCTCCTGAGATGGTCTGGTCACGTGGGCGAGGAGCGCACACCACCTTCTAACAGGCTGGCCGCAGCACCCTCCTGTCCCAGCCGCTGAGACAAGGGATTGCCAGAACACTAGCCCCGGGAGGGTGGGGGTCACATCTTGTGCACCTGAGCGGAGCGCGGAGCCTGGCGCCAAGTAGGCACGTGCTAAATGCAAACACAGGTGGCTGGACAGTCCGTAGGGGCGGCTGAGGTCGGGAGCTGAGAGGTCCAAGTGCGGCAGGCAGTTAGCAATACAAGTCTGGCTTCTCCCAGATCCCCGGGCGGGAGCTGCTCTGAGAGCCCGACGGCACTTTGTTTCCATATGCGGTCCCAAACCACAGCTGAGGTACGGTTTACTTATTTATTTTGGGAGAGAGAGAGAAAGAGAGAACGAGCGGGGGAAGGGCAGAGAGAGAGAGGGAGAGAGAATCTCAAGCAGGCCCCTCGCTGTCAGCACGGAGCCCAACTCAGGGCTCGATCTCACGAACCCCAACCGTGAGATCATGACCTGAGCGGAGATCAAGAGTTGGACGCTCAACCGACTGAGCCCCCCGGGTGCCCTGAGATACGGTTTTCTAAGCAGAATATCACTTCTCATGGTGATGAAAAACAAGACCTCTAACAGTTGGCTTTGCCTACGGATGAGAATAAGTACTAGAGAAGTAACAGCTAACGCTGAGTGTTTATTCCATGTCAGGCACTGCTATTGGTCAACTGCACCATCGTAACAACCCTAGAAGAAAGCATTAATATTACTCGCATCGAGGCCAGTTTCTGGGGACATGTGCAACCTATACAGCTGTCCAGGGCCCCACGGCTGCTTAATGCTCTGCTGTCTCATCTTGAAATTCTCAACACTTAAAAAAAATTTTTTTAAATTTATTTTAGAAAGAGAGGGAGAGCGCATGAGCAGCCAAGAGGGCGGAGGAAGAAACAAAGAAAGAAAGAATCTTAAGCAGACTCCACATTCAGCACAGAGCCTGATACAGGGGCTCGATCTCACAATCCTGGGATCATGACCGAGCTGAAAGCGAGCAGGACGCTCGACCGACTGAGACCCCAGGCGCCCTGAAATTTTCAACACTTTTTAAACAAAGGCCCTGCATTTTCATTTTGCACATTTTGTTTTGTCTGCAAATTACTCCGTGCAGTTTTCATCCCCATTTTGGAGAAAACTAAGGAAGCATGAAGCAAAGTATCGCAGCTGAGAAGCGGGATGGTGGGGACTATACCCCCAGTGGTCTGTCCCAGAGCTCGCTCCTCACCCCTCAACACCCTGCTCCTCACGGGCCAGCCTGTCCTTTATCTGTCTTCCGCCTGCCAGACTGGCAGCTTTCTGAGGGCAGGAGCCTGTCTGTCGATCCAGCAGTGTGTCCACCACTCTGTGGATGGCAGCTGCTCAGCGGATACTTGCTGATCACAGAACTCAAGCAATCGAGCAATAAAACGAACAATAAATCCAGCAAAAAAGCAATCGAGCAATAAGGAACACAGAGACAGGAAGGATTTCTCAAACTAGAAAACTGACCCTTCTGAGTTAAAACCTTGATCCACAGTAAATATTCATCACACATGAGAGGAAGACCTCGGATAACATACTCTTAAACCAAGTGGTTTCTTTTGAAGTGCCTCTTCCATCTGTGTATCTTACAGCTCTCTCTATTACAGCCCCTTCTTAAAAATGCTTACTGGGGGGAGCGTGGGGGGCTCAGTCGGTTAAGCATCCGATGTTGGCTCAGGTCACAATCTTGCAATTCGGGAGTTCAAGCCCCGCGCCGAGCTCTGTGCTGACAGCTCAGAGCCTGGAGTGTGTTTCAGATTCCGTTTCTCCCTCTCTCTCTGCCCCTCCCTTGCTCATGTTCTCTCTCTCTCTCTCTCTCTCTCAAAAATAAACATTAAAAATTTTTTCTTTTAAATGCTTACGGTTCCCCAACTCTTCCACATCATTAAAACTAATTTTCATCTTTGCTTAGTTAATGGTTTCTTCCTAACGATCAAGTAAAAACTTCCTGATCAAGAAAGGTAGCACAATGCTGCAGAACATTACCAGAAAATGTTTTTGCTCCACGTTTTTATTAATCCTATTACAGAATATAAAATTTTCCACCTTGTAACAAAAACAGTAACAATAGTAACACTAGCTGACACTAGTGGAGACGGAGGTACTATTTCAAGTGTTTTTCTTGGGTTTTCTCATTTAATCCTTGGCAATGACCCTCTGAGTTAGGTCCTGCTCAGGTCTGCATTTCCAGATGAGGAAAATGAGGTACAAAGTGGTCGAGGAACCTGCCCAAGGTAACATAGTTACCAGCAAGCCCACACACATCCCTCAAAAGTGTCATAAAGACAATGAGTTCTTATTTAAAAGAAGTCACCTCTCCTTTGATGAATTCAAAGAGAATACACACTGTTGCAGAAATAAAGCAGACCCAAAATACAACTTCTACACTGCTGTGGGTCCTAATCTGATTTAGCCATAGGGCAACTATATAAACAGATGAGTCTAAATTTGAAAATCAAGAAATTGGCATTTGAGAACTCCCGAAGCCTTTCTCCTCTGACTTCCATACATTCATCAGCCATCACCTCCAATAAACTGTTTCCTTTCTCACTCTTCTTAGTCTTCAAAAATTCCGGCTCCCTTCCAAGATTTAAAACAAAGACATCTAAATTTTGCAAAACTCGGGATCTTTCTATGCCGGGACGCCCGGCTCATGACCATGATCAGTAACAGCTGTTCGCTTTGGAGGTGACAGTGGGGACTGGACAGGCTGCTGCCACAGGAGGGGAGAGTCCACGCTGACACACTGACAGCCCTTTGCACTCTCCAGGTTCCACTCTGACCTGTGACCCTCCGTGGAGGGTGTCACGTTAGCCCGATGTGTCATCATAACATCTCCTGCCGGTTGCGAAAAGTTGTAAGAGTCAGAGGAAAAAGCAACCTCTGGGGACAAAAAAAGGAAAACCCCAATCGCCAAATCTCCAATGATTTTGGAGAGACCCAAAGGGAAGAAAGAGAAAGGGTGTGTGGTAGGCCTTCTTAGCAAGAGAAAGGAAGTCATTGCAGAGACCACTTAAGCCGCTTTACCAGACAGGGAAACTGAGGCTGCTGTCAAAAGACCACGGGCAACCAGGCAGACGCCAAGAGGCACCCCAGAGGAGCTTCAGAGGTCAGCTCCGGGGTGCGGGGGTGGGGGGGGGAGGAGGGATGGGGGGGATCAGACGAGCTTTCCCCAGCGTCCAGCGCTGCCAGCTGGAGTTTCTGAGCCGGTGCCTGCGCCCCAGCTGGGTCACAGGTGGCCTGCGCCGTCCGCCCGGCTCACAGGAGCCCTGGTGTATGCTCCCCGGCCTCCTCTCGGGGGCTCCGAGCTCGCCCCCAGCTCTTTCCGGAACTCACGGCGTCCACTCCGCCGCCCCCGCCCCCGCGTGTGCTCCCCCGCCCGGTGTCAGGAACCACAGGTGTGTGTCCCCGGCCCCGGGACCCCCAGGTGCCCGCTCCGCCCGGGGCCCCGGTGGGCGCCCCCTCCCCCTCCCCTGCTGAGGCTGGGGGTGGCGCGCGGCCGGGAGGCCCAGGCGCCGCGGCCCCAAGTGCGACGTGTCACAGGCCGGGCCGGCCCCTCCTCCCGCGGCCGCGGCCACTGCCGCAGCAGGGGCAGCCCGCGGGGCTCAGCGCCGATGCCCGACTAGCCTCAACACGCCCCGCGGCCGTTACCTTGTTGGTGGGCACCGAGCGGAGGCGCTTGAAGATGGTCAGGATGTCCTGCTTGCTGGGGTCCCCCATGGTCACCACAGAAGCGAGGAGCCGCCGGCCCGGCCAACCGGGAAGGGCCAAGCAGGGGCGGTTGCCGCCTCCCGGAGATAGACAGCGGCCGAGGGGCGGGGCTGAGCGTGACGGCCAGGCCCCGCCCCTACGGCCCCGCCCCGCCCACAACCGGAGCTCCCGCTACGCTCTCTTCTCGCGGCCTCGCTCAGCTGCGCCGTGGCTCCGCCCACTCGAGCCCCGCCCCGGCGCTGCCCGCGCGTGCGCAGGAGCCAAGGGCGCCTTCCTGCCGGCTGCGGTTCGCTCCCGGCTGCGCGAGGGCAAGCGGGGCGCGGGGTGAGGGGTGGGGGCAGGTTCAGCTCCCGCGCGCTCGCCCTTGGGGTTCGCCATCGACGGTCGACTGCGTGCTTGGCCGAAGCCTTCTCTCCTGGTCCTCGTGAGGGCGCAGAGCCAGTCCCTCCAGGTGGCAGAGGAGGAAACGTGAGGGCAAAGGGCCCACCCGCCACCTCCGGACGCCCGTTGTCGCTAGTCGCCTTCCTTCCTTTAAAAAAATTTTTTTTCCATTAAGCTGAAGCCGACCCCTGGGTGGGGACGCTTTCATCGCCCTAAAATTGGTCTTAAGAGTATCTGTTTGGGTCCCGGGTCAGCGAGAGAGGGCGGTTCTCTTGAGGCTCAGCTCCAACTTGTGAATAGACCAGAAAAGCAGCGCGACTTTGCCCAGCACCCCGGGCTGCAGCCCACCCTTTGGCGGACATCACAGAAGGGTTTAAGCTCGAGGAGAGGGTCGCCTGGGTGGCGCATCCGGTTAAGCATCCGGTTCGCCTCCGGTCATGATGTCACGGTTTATGGGATTGAGCCCCGGATCCGGCTCTGCACGGACAGCGGGGAGCCTGCTTGGATGCTCTCCCTCCCTCCCCCTCTCTCTGCCCCTCCCCCGCTCTCTCAAAATAAATAAAAAATTTAGGAATATAAATAAACTCGTGGAGAAAGGTGCCTCTTTCGCTGCCGGGGTGTGGAGCCGCTGGAAAAATGTCCCCGGAGGCTGGGTGGCGCATACACTCGCAGGGAAAACAGGTTTACCTTAGCTCCAAGCCCGATTCAGCCCGCCATTTCCTAGCTCTATGACCTTGGCCAAGTCATTTCTCTACAGCCTGGCTTGCTCACCTGTACAATGGGGTTAGAGGTGAAGAATCAGCGCACCCCGGCGGGGGCTGCGATCCCTGGAAAGGCCCTTGGCAGTGCCTTTCTACTTTTAGAAGCGAGGAGTGATCAGCGCTGTCTGGTTGGGTGCCCTCAGGGGCAGTTGGAAGCTTGCTGGGACGTGGGCTCAGATACACCCAGGGCTGGAACTTTTCCAAGGCAGGAAAACAGTACCTTCCAGAAGAGTAAGTTGCTTTTGCAGAGAGCTGTGACAGCTTGAAAGTTCTTCCTTCTATTGAGTCAAAGTATGTATTGTGCTGTGGGTCCCTTGATACTGATGCAGGCTGGCCCTTCAGAGGACCTGGAGGGCCCTTGGCTTTGCACAGGACAGGAATCAAACTAGTGAATCAAACTTCCGCTAGTGAGAGGAAGTGAGAGCAAGGTTTATCAAGTGGCATAGTGATAGAACACAGCAGGCGGAGTGTGTGGGAGACTCAGAGGTCAAGTGCGAGCTCGGGGGCCTCCAGAAGTCCTGGAGCCACAGGGATCTTGGCATCAAGGTGTCTGGAGTCTGGTCTTGGAGAAAGTACCTGACGATCCTGCCCGGTCACTCGCTGGAAGTTTCTATCGTGCTGGAAGACTCTGAAGAAATCGTTAACTCCTTGACCTTCACGAGGAGGACGTACGTGAAGGCAGGAGTGAGGCGGGGGTCAGGTTCCGTGGGAAAAGTAGCAGGAAAAAAACTTTTTTTTTCTTCTTTTCAGTAAAGTCCCTTCAGTTTCTCTGTCTCAATACCTGTTTGGCCCTACACAAGCCCCGGCCCGTTTTTGAGGAACAATTGTATCTTTTCTGACGGGAACGATGCTTACTCTTTGGAGCTGAAATCTTCCCGAGTTATATGTCAGATCCCGGGTATTATGGACTCGATGCTACAGCATAGAGACACCTGAGGAGAAGAAAAACACATGCAGTGAAGTGTGGCGTCTACACTGACAGGCAGGGGTCTAACCGGAGGAAAAACACCGTTGTCTTCTTTCTCATCTGCTTAAGTGTTCGTCATAGAACTTAGTAGCGCCTAGTACCACAGTCTGTAATACCACAGGTCGCCTCTCTTCAACGTAATATAAGTTTGTGGCGATCAGATCTGTTTAGTCTCTGCCTCTGTCCCCAGCACCTAGGACACGCCTGGCACCTTGTGTACATTCAAGAACGATGTGTGGTCGGAAGCTGCAAAGAGCGCCCCTCCCAACATAATAAGGAGAAAAGACTGGATAATAAGAAAAGCATACCTCTTCTTACGCCTATCGGGTGGCTGAGGTTGCAAAGCGACCAAGGAACTGAATTCCCAAGAGAAATGAGCGTCCCCAAAGATCGAAGGAAGGCAAGAACTCCTTCACCTTTGGCAAAGCGTAGGAGAAAGTGGCCGCCCTACAAGCGGGCAGGAGGAAATCAGTTACGATGGTAATGAACTCTTAAAGGCCAAGTGTGGGCTGGCGCGTCAGTTTGAAATAGCTAGAGGCCTCAGATATAAAGAGTTTGCAATCATTCCCAAGCTCCTGTCCATAAACCCCCATCAGAAATCTTTTTCCATAAGGGTGATGGAGGCAAAGTGAACTGAGAAAAACCCTTAGGTGAGTCAGGTTTCCCACTGTTGGGGGATGGGCACCAGACCCCACCCACATCCCTTCTGGAAAACAAGCGGCAGACAAGCCCTCTCCCCCAGGGTTCAGATAAGATCCAGGATGGCCTTGAGAAGAATAGAAGCAACACTCAGTAATACCAAATCCAAAAGAAGATAAGAGAGCCTCTCAACCCTCAAGAGGATGGGCACGAACTCACTGCGACAGGCTTAGGAATAACAGACTACAGAAGGGAGCCAGCCCCCAGGCAGGTCCGCAAGGCCTGCTGGCGACTGTCCTTGGTATGTTTACCTTTTACAGACATCCTGGTGTGGCTGTGGCCAAGTGAAATAGTACTTAGTTTATTTAGTGCCTTCAGTTAGATGGGAGCTTGCTGAAAGCCAAGTGGCACTCCCCGGAAGAACTAGACTTGCCTCGACAGTCACACGATGAGTCACAGAGTGAGAACAGGCACAGACCTTGTCCCTTGCCACTGGAGGACACCAGTGAACTTTGGTTCGTGCCGAAGAGAAAACGTAGGAATGTTGTCTATCTCTTACACCCTTTCTGTACAGGTCAGATAGATCTGAAAATGAACTTGTGAAATCACGAGCAGCAGCATCTGATTCCCACGAACGCCATCCACAAATGTCCCGCTTTTAAAGGTAAAATATGTAAATAATGATATTTGTTATGGCGTTGATGTTACCGATTGATTTTTATTTATTATTATTATTTTGTTAATGCTTGTTTATTTTTGAGAGAGAGAGACAGACAGAGAGACAGAGAGACAGTGTGAGTGGGGCAGGGGCAGAGAGAGAGGGAGACACAGAATCTAAAGCAGCTCCAGGCTCTGAGCTGTCAGCACAGAGCCTGACATGGGGCTTGAACATGGTGAGATCATGACCTGAGCCAAAGTTGGATGGATGCTTAACCGACTGAGCCACTCAGGCGCCCCACTGATTGAGTTTTAAAAAGAAATTTAAGCTGATGCCATTAGCTCCTTTAATGGGATAAATGATTTGGAATATTCTCATGGCTGTAATATTTGCACCATTGGCAAAAATAATTGGAAAGTGAAATGAAAACTATGTTTATATAAAACCTGTACCGGAATGTTTATAACAAATTATAATCATCGAAACTGGAAACGAAAACAAAAAGCAGGGGGTGTCCGGGTGGCTCAGTCGGTTGAGCATCTTACTATTGACTTCATCTCAAGTCATGACCCCAGAGTTGTGGGGTCGAATCCCACATTGGGCTCCACGCTTTGCGTGGAGCTTGCTTAAGATTCTCTCTCTCTCTGGGGTGCCTGGGTGGCTTAGTTGGTTAAGCGTCCGACTTTCGCTTAGGTCATGATCTCACGGTTCGTGGGTTCGAGCCCCGCGTCGGGCTCTGTGCTGACTGCCAGCTCAGAGCCTGGAGCCTGTTTCAGTCTGTGACTCCCTCTCTCTCTGACCCTCCCCTGCTCACGCTGTCTCTCTCTCTGTCTCCTAGAAATAAATAAACATTAAAAAAAAAAAAGATTCTCTCTCTCTCAAAGGGCACCTGGGTGGCTCAGTCAGTTAAGCAACCGACTTCGGCTCAGGTCATGATCTCAAGGTCCATGAGTTTGAGCCCTGCATCGGGCCCAGTGCTGACAGCTCAGAGCATGGAGCCTGCTTCAGAGTCTGTGTCTCCCTCTCTCTCTGCCCCTCCCCTGCTTGCACTCTGTCTCTCTCTCAAAAATAAACCTTAAAAAAAAAAAGATTCTCTCTCTCTCCCTCTGCCCCCTCCCCTGCTCATGCTCTCTTTCCCTCTTAGAAAAAAAAAAAACAAAAAAAACCTGGAAACAACAGAAATATCCTTCACCTGGATTAGCAAAGCATGGTGAATCCATTCAATGGAGACCACCCACAGTAAGAAGGGACAAACTGATAGTTGACACCACATGGATGGATCTCAAATTAATTATGTGAAGTGAAAGAAGATAAGACAAAGGCTACCTATTGATGTAGAAATGTTGGGGGTCAGGGCTGTCAGCCAACAAAGAATTCTTGAGACGTCTTTGGTCCAAAAAAGGTGGTTTTATTAAAGCACGAGAACAGGACCCGTGGACAGAAAGAGCTGCTAGGACATTCTGGGAAAAGCAAGACTGTACAAGGGGAAAGCAGATTAGGGAGTTGCAAGGGTTGAGGCCGTAAGGAAAGGTTGGCTACAGAGGACCCAGGAGAAATCTGGGACAGGACCCATGGGCAGGATGACAGGTAACTGATTATGTACCTTCAGCTTGGGAGGGGGGCAGGGATAGAGTAAGTCTCTAAGGTATTTTGGGGTTTTGTTTTGTTTTGTTTTTAATTTTTTAAAAATTTATTTCTGAGAAAGAGAG